CTGTGTTGTTCATTTTCTGGGATCGCGTTTAGTATTTTTATTTGAAATTACATGTATTAATTTTCAAAATATTGCATTTTTGTTTGAAATTACATGTATTTTTTCAAAAGTTTAAGATGTCACGATGACAAAGGCATTTCTACGGAGCACCCGCGGCGTGCTACAGCGTTCCATGACGACTGGGCTCCCTCTGAGTGTGCATGACGTGCTAGTTGTCACTTTACGTTCTCGGCGTGCACAATGCGCTTACTGCGTCCACAACCCAGTGGCATCCTAAGGACTCCAAGAGGTCTCTGTGCAAGAGTCGTCTACTTCCACTGCGTCCATGCTGCAATCATTTGCGTCTCTTGAGCGCACCAACGGAGCTCTTGTGGCGTTGTTGGAGACCATAACGCGCTGCTACGAAAGACCCTTCGACCTTTCAGAGCGTGTAAATCAGAACGCAGAGCCGCCTCGCTGCATTTAAGGCGGCCTTTCTTGCATTATTTGGAAATGCCACCTTGATGTAGTGGCGTTGTAGGAAACTATAAGTACTACGCGTACCTCGGAGTTCTTTTTTTTTTTCGTGGACGCTGCGGGATCGCCGTGGGGACGCGGCCCTGGTGTGACAGGATTTTGATTTTTATAGATGCCCCTCACCTTCTGTAATATATCATCTTGACCATTTACTTGAAGTACATTGTAGTTGAGTTTATACTTAAAAGTGACACACACAACTGTCAGATATTTGAATTGATCACATAATTCATTTTAAGGTTAGGGAAGGGGGGGGTGCAGTAAAGTCTTTCTGACAGGTACAGCTTAAATAGTGTAACGTGTACACTGATATTTTATTAATTGCATGTTAAATTCATCAGTCGGGTATCATTAATTTCCTTTAATGACTCGTGTTATACATGTACAGTACTAAGCATTTTTTCTAAATACATTATGTAAATAAAACACTCGGCCCCTCCAGTCCTTTGTAACTTTTGAGACAGAAGAGTCAATATTATGGGTTTGTTTTTATACAAATGTAGACTGCTACGATATAACAATACTTAATATTTCGGTTATTGTTTCGCTTTTGTGAAATGGGATTTTTTTATATTCTAAGATATATAATCTAAGAGATATACATGTAGTTTATCAAATCACTGAATTCAACGCTGTTCAATGTTGAAATTAAGAGATAGCATTACAATGATTTGAACATGTATTTCACACTTTGCCATAATTCGTTAAAATTGTCTCGTCTGCACTTCTTATAGATTAACAGGACTTTTTTGTTTACTTTACAATACACTCACTTCTCATTGGAAGTCCCTAGTCCATAAATTAGCGAGAAGTCGACCAAAAGCTGCAAATAACATCCAAGATGGTTCCAACAGTATTTTATGCATATACATGTATACATATTTGGGTGTATCTGCGTCCCTTTATCTAACAGATGATAAACTGTCAAGTCGGGTATGAAAAAGATTTCCTGTGATATAGTGGAATACATTGTTCATAACTTTAAACAACGGATTTAATTAATATAATATATAATTATATATTGTTCACTTGAACTGGTGTTGTTTTGACACTTACCATAGTATTAAATTCGGATTTACTAATAACAATGATTTTTAATTAGTTTTGTGTTAACGTTGATTCGTCAATCATTTGTATTTCTTAAATTTTTCTTTTATCATTATTACTTATAATATTCAACTTTCTCAGATGAAGTTTTATTAGAGTCTTTGATAGAATTAAAGCATAAAGTGTTTGGACTTTTTATCACTTTTCCAGACGCTTTATCGAAGTCCGGGATAGAGACATAAGAAATTCAGCCCCTAAGTAGATTGATGTCCTGTCTAAACATTAGTCAATTTTCCATGGAAAACGATTCTGTGTAGATTATAGATTTGAAACCGATCTAGCATAAAGGTACCAGGGACTAGTCGAATTACTTCCATTAAGAAAAAACATCAAGAAGACTACAAGAGATCCATTTGATAAAGAGAGTACCCGAAGTCAACAGACCGTGGCCAAGCTTGTCCAAATGTGGGACAGTCACTGGAGTGTGAAATTTTCGCGCGATATATAAACTTTAGAGTGACACTGGCCTGGACTCTTCTTTTCCGGAGGGGAGGGGAAGCGGTACACGGAAATTGACTGGTCAGTCGTGGAATGAGTATTTCTGTGAAAGTGAAAGGGAAAAGTGAGTTGATTTCTTTTTTTCTTTCCTAATACAATTTACATTTTGAATCAATTCATAGATAAATTGTTTTAACAAAGGGGGACAATATATTTTTAAAATTATTTTTTTCTTATTTAACATTTTCCCCCTTCACGGTTAGATAAATGATCACTAATTACTAGGTCTAAGAATGCTCTTCATTGGGTGTGTTAGATATTACACAGAGAAAAACCTAGCTGATGTAAGTTTATACAATTCCATTTTTTAATTTCAATTTGCATTTGTAGTTTTTTGTAAAATATTGTATTGTTGAATTTCAGCATCAGATTGAGTAATTGAAATTAATTTAAAATTAGGAAAAGAGCTTCATAATCAGTCAGTGACTTATTGAGGGTGATATACCCGTTTTTCATTTTTTCAAAAAAAAAATTTTCAACTTTTATTTTCATAGAAATATAGGGTTTTGGTAATGTTTAATATGATCCCTGTGTCTATAAATTAAAAGTGTGAATGAAACTGGAAACACGTGTAAGTGATATTATCACAAATATCACTCATAAACCTTAGTTTTCTCCATAGCCAACAAAATATTTCAACAAAAACGCATTTTTTTTAATCCTGTGTGAGTGGGGGGATGTATTTGAATGTTTACCTTTTATGTGATCTTTTCTGGGGGAGGGGGTCGTATTCTTTTTATATTATTATTGGAACATCGTCTTTGCCTGTGCTTCTGTTGTCTTGTTATTCTGTTACTTTAACTATGGGCTCTGTAGAATTTCACTTCCTTAAGAAACGCTTATCTGAAATAGGAAAGATGAATTTCTATTTGATTATACAATCTTGTACATTCTGGATGTGTTTGATTATAGCATGATTGTCTCCCCTTTTTTGTTAGACAATATTGATGTGTGTATTTAAATATGGCGCAATGAAAGTCTAGACGAGACTAACTCCTTAAAACATCTGTAGATAAGTAAACTATTGCGGCAATTTTAACACATGGACTTTAAAACCTTAACAGTGACTCTTCTTAATGATCCCGTGATACAATGTCGGGTAACGCCTACTTTTGTATCATACTATTGTTACCTGTAGATATTGAGAATAATCAAATCCCAACTGTATCAATTACTTGAAAATGTGTCTGTCACCTTAAAAAGCTCCAACGATAGAAAGGAGATTTGCGGATATCCTCGTGTTTTGATTTGACTAGTATTTCTGAGAGTTTCGGGATATTATGGAAAATTATTTTTTTTATCATTTTATAAAAAAAAAAAAAATAAAAAATAAAAAAAAATAAAAAATTAAAAAAAAAAAAAAACAGTCTGGATGACCTAGACTTTGTCAAAAAATTTTCTATTCGCATTTCTAAAATTATTTCACATGTACAAAATATGTAGAAAATCTTTTCTTCTGTACTTGTCCTTTTGAACGTATATAGGTGAAAGTAACATAGAATATATATTTATGACAACTTTTAACCCGAAACACTTTTTCATATCTCTCTCCTACCCTAAAAACTAATTAATAATCAAATCTAATTAAAACATGGATTCAGTCACCACTGACAGGTAATGCGAATGTCCATTTTATACAATTTATGGAGTTCAGCCATCCGTAACCTACTCTATCCGTTATCTGGGAGTCGATTCGTTGTTCATTGAAGCGAAGCCAGGGGCCTCAGGGTCAAGAAGGAGTGACCTGATAATGCAGCTAAATTGTTCATTAACCCGTTAGAAGTAGATAAAAATGTATTCAATTCCTTTTAATGCCGTCAACAGTCAGATAATGCTCCGAATCAACATTTATTACGTCACAGATGTCTCGAAAAGATATTGGCTAAGAAAATGGGTGTATTTATTAAATTTTTTGAAATGCCGTTCCCGACGCTTTTTCGGATAGACAATAGGATGTCTTGGAATTTCTAAGGGAAAAAATGCTTATCAGATTGTGGTCTTGTTCACTGATGTTTATTTTTCACATAAAAAAAGTCTGTATGTATTCTGTAAGAATTCAACACCTTTTACATTCATTGGATGTAAACATTGTAAAATACAACTGAAATCCATCCCCTGGATTTAATTAGCGCCATACCTTAATTCAAAAATATGAAGTATTTTATTCCTATTTAAGTATACAGTTATTGTGGGTTTTGAGTGATTATAACATAACATGTGCATTCACAATATATATTGTATACATGTAAGTAATCTCCAATATATTTACAAGGACAAATTCAAAACTCGAATGAAAACAGTCCGATTTGTGATCTCGGTGTTTTGGACTTATACTGACGTGGTTTTGAAAGTGAGGGCACGAGAGGCCAGATATATTAATGCAAGCCCAGAGCCACAATAAATAAAGCTTCTGTTTGATAATACTCCGGCAATACACGTGGATTAGTATCGCTAAACATCTACATCTGATAGTAACTACTGCTAAGGGCTGTCCTCAAATATCGTTAAGTTTTATTTAAGAAAGCAACAGTTGTGAATCAGACTGTGTTTCTGCAGTTTTACTTTACCCCTATCTTATAATTTATTCTATACCTCTAATCATTTCAATCTTTTACACAAATATCATCATGTTAATTTAATGTAACATCAGACCTTACATGTTTCAAAACCACAAAACGCATTTGAAAAAGCAATAGTCATGTGCACCAGAAAATTATCTAAAACAAAACTAGGTATGTTTCTGCTAGCCACTTTTATTTTATTTTATTTTTTTTTTATTTTATTTATTTTCATTTCTTTATCAGCTTATTTGCAAACGATCTTTTTCGTTTTGATGTTGTATTTTTTAGTTTCTTTTGTTTTGCTCTGTTTAAGGCACAATGGACGAAAGTGACAGAAATAATTCAGGTATCGTATTTCTGTCTTTATGTTTTTATTTTCTTTCTTACTGTTTATACTTATCAAGTTTTATAGAATACACAGTTTTATTGTCTTCGGCATTTTGCCACAGTCGCCTCTTCATAAGAATCAGAATTACATGTAGATATTTGCAGTTTAATAAATTTGAAGAAGGTAACAAAAAAACACCACGGGGTCTTGCAGCTCTCCTCTAGAACGATTTTAACATTCTCTTTCAATTACTGTAAACATTAAAATATTATTTTTCATTTTGTTTAAAAATACATGTACATTTTTAGCCAATGGCCAGTTTGTGGGAGTGCGCATGCCTCATCGTAGGGATAGACCACGTGTCGTGGAAAACGGTAAGATTTCATACTTGACTCTCTAATCTCTATGCCTCTGTTTGAAGTGACATAGTATACTTAGAATGTTTGAAGGGCGTTCTGAAAATCAAACCAAAATGTTTACTCTTTTCGTATACAAAAGGACCCCCTACCCTCTATATCTATTTCAATAAATCTTCCACACTTGTAAACTTAGTCCATGTATATAAAAGAAAAGATTCGTTTAATCTAAAGACTAAACAATTAATATACGAAAATCTTGGATCAATGTGTACATCTAGGAGATTTGGGGATTTGGGGGGACCAGGCGGTTTTATTCCATCTCTATTCGGTTATTGTTTTTCGTCTTTCTTTCTTTGGTTTTATAAGTCTTTTTTTTCTTAAATGATGTTTAATTATTTTTACTAAAGATTTTTTTTTCAGTTTAGATGCTCTGCGATCTTTGATTTTTTTGAACAAATTTTCTCATTAAATTTTGCAAAAGTAAGTCAGTGTAAAGAATAAATGGATAAATAATACTGATTGATGAAATATGATAAATAACTTCATCTATAAAATGTATTTTGATTTCTAGATAATGTCCACCAATAAAAAGTATTGCCATTTATGTAACTCGTCTCGGTATTTCTGCAATGAATTGTAACTATTTTTTGCATTTAAGTCACTGCTTTGCTTCGTTTCGGAAAAAAATGCTATATTGGATCTTCAGATTTGTAGATTTTAAAACATGAAAGAAATTTGAATTGGTTTATTTGAATAGGGTTTACATCTAAAACTATAAGTTTCTTTTATTCGAGGGCTTTGTACTTATTTTTTATTTTATAGGTAAATGGCGGGTTGTCAAACTTGGCCTTATTTTGGGGAGAGAAAAAAAACGTCTTAACCATTTTTACTAACATTTAATGCGTTTCGTTTATATTTTGTTGATGTGTTTTCTAAGAAGCCACGCTGTTTTGATATCTAGAATTCAATGGAGTTAAAAAGGATAAGATTCAGAGAATTAAGTAATTTAAAAATTTATAAACAGTAAAATCAGATAAATTTAAAACCTTTGTTTATGCATTAAATTACCTCAGCAGTTTGATTTTAGGAGTAAGCAGCGATGAATGTGAGAAGTACAACCCCTCAGAATGGGTACAGAGTCTGATCAACAACGTCAAGTCTGAAGGCCATAAGGCTCACAGTGTGTTTAGCGAGTTGGACGTCCTTAAAGAGTACAACGGCTCCATCGAGTGGCGGGAAGCAGCGAGGTAGGTCATTTATTGTGAAAGGAAGTTTGTTTTTGATGGGAAAAAATCCAAAACAAACAAACAAACAAACAAACAAACAAACTCACAACAAAACAAAGAGAAAAACGAACCAAAAAAAAAAAATTCTGAAAAAACATTTCTGAGTGACGCATTTAAAACAAGCATTCTGAGAGTATTGCATGAGCAATACTAGTCCCCTACCGGCAAGTGTAATCTGGTTCTGTTCCCGTTAAGAATTGAAAATGCCATAATTCCGTCAAAAATTAATGAAACGGGACAAAATGCAAACTTGATCTATAACTAATCAAGGTAAAGCCACATACCAAAAATCAGCTCAATATCTACAAGCGTTTAGAAGAAAATTGCGGAAAACCCACTAAAAATTGAAAAGGCCGTAATTCCGTCAAAAATCAATGAAGCGGAACGAAATGCAAACTTGATCTGTAACTCATCAAGATACACTCACATACCAAAAATCAGCTCAATATCTGCAAGCGTTTAGGAAAAAAGTGCGGAAAACCAAGTGGGACAGACTGACAGACAGACAGAGGGACAGACAGACAGACAGAGAGACAGACAGACAGACGGACGGACAGACTCAGAGGAAACCTATAGTCCCCTCCGGTTTCACCGGTAGGGGACTAATAACTATGAACATTGATTGACAAAAGAGTAAAGAATGTTTCATTTTCGAAATACACTGTACTACCTAGTGGCATTAACCGCTTTTTAAAAATTCCTCTTCATTTGAATTATGAATGAGTATATGACAAAATATTTAACGCCAGTTATTAAAATATTAATATCAAAACCAAATATCATTACTGCTTTTAATTCAGTTTAGTACCAAGCATAGTTAAATCGTCGATCCACACTTTTTCCATTTCTTCTTTCCTCAAGGTACATTCTCAGCTTTGTCACATTTTAATGACAGTGACAATGAATGAAAATAAATTTCAAGTGTAGGTTCGGGGATTCGGGGGGGGGGGGGGGGAGTGAGAGACACTTCAGAGATTAAATTTTAAACAGATGGGTTCAATACTTACCTTACCTACGTACGAGAGACTGGTAGTAGAAATCGTGCAAATGGTTTTATATTATAACAGTAAAAAAAATCACGCATAATCTAGCATTCATTTGGAATATATTATCAATGTAGATGGGTGAAATACGAAGAGGTGGTGGAAGAGGGCGGGAAAAGATGGTCCAAGCCCCACGTGGCCTCTTTGTCGATGCAGACTATGTTTAACCTGAGAAAAGCTCTGAAGGAGGCTCCGGTCGTCATGGACTTCGACTGTCATACCTTGTCCCAAGTCATAGGTACGTCTGATCCCCCCCCCCCCCAAAAAAAAACTTTTGAAATAGATACCCCCGTCCTTTTTTTTTTTTAAAGAAATACATAAGATTTCTGTTTAGATTATTGATTTTTTTCCCGTTTTTTTTTAAATTTGCAATGTGCTTTTATTATTATTTTATAATTATTTATATATCAATGAAATTAATACAGATAATCTATTTTCCATTTTTTCCTTAATCTCTTTGTAAGATTGCGCAAATGAAATTTTGTTACAATTTGTCATCATTTCAAAGTTCTTTTAATTGATATATTGCATGTTCGAAAATAATGATAAACATATTTATTTCTTCACGTCCTGTAACAAACTGTTCTCAAATTAAAAGTCTAGACAAATTAAACAAATTTACAAAACACTTCAATATCCACCACTGCGCTTTTGATATATTTCAACATTTGTGACGAGTCGTCAAATAAAAGTATAATTTACCCCTCCTTCAAAGTAACTCCTTATCAGAACTAATTTGCCACTTTTCCGATTCTTTCGAACTAAAGCAATAAAACTTGAGATAACTTCTTTTAATCACATCAAATAAATGATGGAAAGCAAAGAATTGACCTAAAATTTTCAACTTTTTTTTTAGAATTGTGCAGTTGAAAGCAATGATGCATTTATCTACTTTTACTATCAATATTACATACATTGTAATTAATAATGTATTACATAAACTAACTGATGATTAAGCACATTTTTTTAATTCTTTGCACTGCTACATTGAATAACAAAGAATAATTGTAACACAAGTATATTTGAATATCAATCAACGACACTGACAAAAGCAGGTTGAGTTTGAGGCTATTGACTTTTCATTATCATATTTTTAAGTTCACCTGAGTTGAAGGCTCAAGTGAACTTTTCTGATCACATTTTGGCTGACATCCGTCTAGCTGTCCGTATGTAGACATCATATTTTCAACAACTTTTCAAGCCTTGTGGCCAATGGGCCTCTTAATTGTTTACTTATTTATTTACTGATTTTTTTTGTAAGACAAATTTGTTAAAATTAGAGGTAATTAAGTAGTATTATTTAATATCCTTGATTAGACAAGTTCACTGACGAATGGGTAGACAGGAATCAGTTAGATCCAAGATTCAGACCCCACATCCGGGACGTTGCCCTTAAAGGTCACAAGCACCATCACATAAAAAGAGCTCGGAATCAGAGACGAGGCTCTACGACTACCCGCCCTCTAGCGGACATAATGGACGAATCAGGTACCAGTATATATAAAATATATAATGTCATATGAATACAAAGTACAATATGAATTAACATTAACCAAAGAGCTTTGGAAAACTTGCTTTGAGCAAATGATCCATTTTAAGTTTGTTTTTTTATATCTAAACTCTTGTTTTGTTCTTAAATAAATGAAATTGATGAAAAAGAATTACAGTATAAAACTACCGCTTGTACTTTGCTCCAAAATATATTCATAAGCTTAATAAAATGAATCCATGATTTTGTATGCTTGGCGCAGGTACGAATGGTAGTGCTGCGCATCTTCCATATTCTGCTAGCTTTGCCAGCATTAACAGTGACGGGTTAGGTAGCAGTAACAGTAACAACGATCTCCAGGAAATGGGCATGGTCGAGAGTCCCTCCCAGTCCTCTTTGTCTCCCAACTGGAAGGTAAAAAAGTCAAAAGCAGCATGTAGATAATGAAAACATATATTATTCTCCAGTGTAGTAACTCGTTTGCTTAAACAGTTCTGGTTACTTTTGATAGCCAAATACAAACTTTCTGAGAAAAATCCCCAAAGATTCTCACGTTGCCAACATCATGGTTGGAGAAGTGGAAGACCTTCCAAACCGGGTCATGGGATTCATGCGCCTCAAGGAGCCAAGGATATTACAAAATGACCTTAGCGAGGTCAATATTCCCACGCGCTTTGTGTTCTTCTGTCTGGGCAGGAGGGGCGAGGAGGAGGAATTAATTGAGTTTGGCCGCTGTGTTGGAACCATGATAGTAGATGAGGTATATTTTAATCTTTGAAAAACTTACGTCATTAAATTTCTAGTTACATACATCAATAAATGAATGATAATTAATTTTGTGATCCTGTTCAGCTGCACCAAAGAACATGTTTCACTCACTTGGCTCTATTCTGCAGATTTTCCGGGAAGTTGCTTATAAAGCACGTGATCGGGACGATCTTTTGGCGGGATTTGATGAATTTATGGAACAAGTGATTGTGCTGCCACCTGGCGAATGGGATCCCAAGATCCGCCTCGAGCCACCTGGAAAAGTTCAGTCTCAGGTAAATAAATCGTCTGCTAAAATTGTAAAGACAAATGGTCACTTTCTTTTCAAGAATTTGCTCGATTTCTTTAAATTTTAGGAGGCATAGAACTTTGGATTAAATTTAGATCTCTCTCTCTCTCTCTCTCTCTCTCTCTCTGTAAACATCTGAATCGAATTTTTATTCAGTTCACGCATCATCAAAATATTTTTACCAATTTAGTCATTAGATACAGTATAATATTTACCTTTGATGGAGAGAAATGTTCTGATGTCGCGATTAAGAATGTTATATACTTATTAAAACAGGAACATAGGCGTCAGTCTGTCGTATCTGGGAGTCCAAATGGCGCGGGACTACCGATAAAAAAGGCAGAGGAAGCGGAGGAAGAGTCTCACGTGGATCCTTCACTGGTGATGTCTAAGATGTATGTATAGGTCGACTGCAGGAATAAGTCGAATTATCGGTTTAAAGGTCAGCGAAAAAAATTAATAGATCAAAACAGTGGGGATAGGTCGAAAACAATTACAGGTCGAATGGTCACAAGACCAGTGAAAATTTTACGAATAGATCAAAATAGGTCTTTTATCGATGTTATGAAAGTGGAGAAAGTGTCATTTCTGTGAAACCTTTTTTTAAGAATGATTTGACACATATATATAACTATAAATAAATTTTTAAAAATCTCTTTGTTTGATATTATTTTCAGTCCTTTTAAAGGCCTGGTTGACGACATCAAGAGGAAGGCGCCATTTTATCTGTCTGATTATAAGGACGCACTTCATGTCCAATGCCTGGGCTCATTTGTCTATGTCTTTCTTGGAACACTAACCCCAAACGTCACATTTGGAGGATTGCTTGGTCAAGCCACGGACCAGTATATGGTATGTATCTCTCAACATACACATGTCATGCATTGTATGGTATTTCACAATACAATTAATGATTTATCGCTCTTAAATTTTTGTACATTTATTGGATATCCACCTGAGGAATATATGATGTTTATCTTTGCGGTGTATAATATATTTATTAACTACCCGGAGCGGCGGGTAAATGCATGCCTTTTACTGATTAATATTACCACGTTTCATCTGTATATTGTGTAGCGATATAACTAGAATGCACCAAGTATGGTACCAGATAAATACTATTATTAGATGTTTTGTATTACAGGAGAATAATCATTCGATTTAATCTTTTTTTTCATTACACCAAAAGTAACAATGCATTGGCACTTGTGTCAAACTTCTCTTGACAACAGTAGATCTACAGGTACATTTAAAATGCTTGTCAGAAAATATGACATTTTTGTCTAATTAGGGAGTGATGGAGTGTATCTTTGCTGCTGCAGTGACAGGGATCCTGTTTGCTTTATTTGGAGGACAGCCCCTCAACATCCTAGGAAGCACTGGACCAATGCTGGTCTTAGAAGCCATTATCTACAATCTATGCAAGTAAGAACACATTACCAAGGCTTCTTTCAGGATCTCAGCAGCAACCCTAGCTGCTAGGCTACGTATTAGAATTATAACGGTACCTCGACGTAGGTCCAGCATGGATGTTGTTCAATTTCGTAGTCTATCTTGCAAAACGTTGCCGCTAGATCTTCAACCAGCCTATAAATTTAGTGTTAAATGAGGCACTAGAGTTAAAATTGAATCAAAAGCTTTAGATACCCCCCTTTTTTTAAATTTAAAAAATCATTATTTGGAAACTCGCTTTTCCTGCAGTATTATTCGTACAGTTGCTTCACATTCGTAGAGCTGATTGATGCGTTGGCGCTTCTAAGGAACAGTACGTCTCCTGGCATTAATCTTTTATTATCGGGTGTTTTATATTGCTACACTACTATGAATATCCATTTCAGGGACAACGATTGGGACTTCATGCCGATGCGATTCTGGGTCGGGATGTGGACAGTCGGAATCATACTTTTAATAGTCACCTTCAACTTGAGCGCCCTCGTGAAATATATTACACGGTTTACAGAAGAGAGTTTTGCGACATTAATTGCAGTCATTTTTATCGTGGAGGCATTTAAAAAGGTGATTGAAATTGGGTCTGAATATCCGGTTAACTTTTCTCCAAACGATCCACTTCCAAGCTGTGTCTGTGTGCCACGTGACTGCAATATTACCGATCTTACCACCACTGCGGCTGTTACGGCAACCACAGGAATTTCCACATCTCTTCCATCCACCGCAGCCAGTGTTGTCAACTACACATGCGCAGACCTGGCTAACATGACAATCAACTGGGCCTCGCTTTCAAACGAAACATGCGCAATGTATGGTGGTATAATGGAAGGCCCCGGATGTGGCGTCCAGTATGTGGGAGACGTTTTCTTCTTCTCCATCCTTCTGTTTATCGGAACCTTTGCACTGACGTTGTCTTTTGTTGACTTCAAACGAACAACTCTCTTCCCATCTTCCGTAAGTCGGTTAAAATCATTCATTTGTAGTTAAAAATATTTTGAAGCTGCTAATAGTCTTTTCCCCTAAACTTTAAGTCTTAAAAATTGAACGTTTACATTTTTTCCAAGGGTAACATGAGAAACGTATGAAGATTACTCGATATATACATATAAATGATAAGTTTCCCTGCACTTTAAAGAAGGACTATGTGTGAAATTGAACCCTGTTTTTTTAATATAATTTTATTGTTCATATACATTTATAAAGGTGCGTCAGAGAATCAGCGACTTTGGTGTCCTCTTTGCTATCGTCATCATGGTCCTTGTCGATTTCTTTGTTGGAATCAACACTCCCAAACTCATCGTCCCAGATGAGTTCAAGGTCAGAAAAAGAATCTAGTGTATCTTAGTGTTTAAATATTGATTGATCCATGTTTTGATTGAACAGTGTTTTTTTATGCTGAAATACTGTAAATTATCCATAAAAAGATTGATATTTTTTTCACACATTTGTTATTTTTTCACACGTTTCGAAAATAACAACCGGAACTACTATGAGATCAAAACGAAAAACAGAAGAAAATCTAATGAACAGAATATTTGATGTTAAATTAACAAATTAACATTTGAATTTGTTTTAGAATAATTTTTTTAAATAGCCTGTATTTTTACTTGAGATTCGCACCCGTGGGGAAAAAAGTCACTCATGAAGTCATTCCAAATCCATCTACAAAATATTGAGTATCCTCTAGTATTAAACTGATTTTCTTGTTTACAGCCTACCCGCCGTACTCAGTGGACCGTGAACCCTTTCAGTGATAAGAACCCTTGGTGGCTTTATCTCGCGGCAGCCATTCCCGCGTTACTGTCCACCATCTTGATTTTCTTGGATCAGCAAATAACAGCAGTCATTGTCAACAGGAAGGAAAACAAACTGAAAGTAAGGATACAAGTAACCTCCCTTAACGATATTTCAAACGTTGGGGGGGGGGGGGGGGTCAATAGACAGATCTTGGCATTTCAAATTAATTTCAACGTTCATCAATACTTTGAAAATGGAATGGATATTAAGTGTATTTTTTATTAATTAGCAGAGATATGTTAACAAATTTTTAATAGAAAGGCGTTGGTTACCATCTGGACATGTTTGTGGTGGCTATCTGTGTTGGAATCCATTCCTTCCTTGGTCTTCCCTGGTACGTAGCTGCCACAGTCTCTGCGCTTGCGCACATCAACAGTTTGAAGAAGGAGTCCGAATGCACTGCACCTGGTGATAAACCATCTTTCTTAGGAGTCAGGTACCAAACCATTTCTAATACATCTAAAACATTTTTAAAAAATCTTAATACACTGTAATTCAATTTGCCGAAAGGTTTTTTTTTTTAAATTGTTACTATGATTTTTGAATCTGTCAATTTCAATTAAAAAAAATCAGGAAAAAGAACAATACACCAGTTTGAAATACGATGTATATATTTTGTCTTGACAGAGAACAGAGAGTTACCGCTCTTGGTATCGGTATTCTTAGTGGATGTGCTGTCTTAATCACGTCTGTTCTTAAGGTATACAACTCGGACTTAAATAGAAACGTTTAAACTAGGGATGGCAATCGAATACAGAATTGCTAATCGGTTAAACGCAAGACGTTCCGACCGATTAACCGGTTAACCTTATCAAAATACGCATTTTCTTGATGTACTTACTTTTTGCCTAAGTAGCTCTTTTCATATATACAAGAAAACTTATAGAGTTTAGATCTTAAATCATTTTATTTGTCTTGATTCTTGATTTAAAAAAATAACCCACATGCTTCTATATTTTATTTTAGTTTCAATGTAGACTGGAAAAAATTAAGAAAAACACTAATCATGACTGAAAAATCATTGATATTTTTCCAAAGCAGATTTCACATACGTTCATTCAGCATTGTCACCATAATTAAAACTAAATCTGAAATACATCACTTAATTTACAAAATTTGTATACTATATTTATTTGTTTATTTATTTATCTACTATATTTATTTGATAGATAACTGCAAAAAACAAACATACTGATTCGCAGTTCTCAACGGTGATTTAATTATCATTAAATAAATACAAGGACGGTCAGGGTGTTTTAACAGTAATTAAAACTTCAAACACAAAATGACCAATTACTCTACACTCTCAATCCACTGAACCATAATTACAGCCAGCCAAGTCAGCTTGGATATGTGAAAACGCTGAATTATCAACGTTTATGCAAAGATCTCTTTTTTTTCAACATGAATTTTAACAAAATTAGGTTAAAACTTACATATCTTTTTATTTTTTCCGACTAACCGATTACAGATTTTCTAACCGATTCCCATTGTTCCGACCGAGTAATCGGTTAACCGGTTACAAATTGCCATCCCTAGTTTAAACATGTACATGTATTTAGTTTATGATCATTTAACTACTTTCTGAGCATGTTCCTATTCAGACATTCCTGTAGACAGATATTTTATCGTCTTATGAGTTGAGGGAAATTTTTTTTAATTAACCATATATATGATAGATGTTAACCTTTCCTTTACTCTGTTTCACAGTATATCCCTATGCCAGTTTTGTATGGAGTTTTCTTTTACATGGGATTTTCAGCCCTGCGAGGAATGCAGGTAAGAACCCCCTTTTCCCCCAATGTATTATTTTTTCTTTGAAATCCGAAATGAATTATTAAAGTACACGTTTTGTAGATTGCTTTTCTTTTTGTTTTTTGCTTGTAAAAATTAATTTTTAATGATTATTTCTTTCAGCTCGTGGATCGTCTTTTCCTCTTTATCCAGCCTGTCAAATACCAGCCCGATCTTCCGTACGTCCGCCATGTTCCACTTTGGCGGATCCACATTTTCACCATTATTCAGGTTCTTTGCTTGGCTATTCTGTGGGTGGTGAAAACTATTAAAGTCATATCAATTGGATTCCCAATGATGGTGAGTATATATTTTATATCAAAATACAAAATTTGGCTTTTTTACACAAATTTTCAAAAATATTTTATGTGATCTATTTCATAATTTTAAAATATAGTTGTTATCAATATTCTCAATTTCCCTTTACAAAATCTTGGGGAAAAAGTTGCATTCTCTATTGAAATACTATTCAATATGCATTTGAAGGGGGTCCAGAAAGAAGAAAAAAATGTTTCTTCAAATTTTGTAATTAATTATTCTCCTCCACGTTTTTTTCCTACCAAGTTTAAATTCCATAACAGCTTATGATGTTTGCATTTGTTTCCTTTCATTAATAAACAGTTACTTTGTCCTTTCTTTATTTAAAGGTCCTTCTCAGTCATTTCTTTCAGACTGTTGTATATGATAAATTTTCTATTTTTCAATAAAAACAATCAGTATAACGTCTTGCTCCCTACATTTCTCCAGGTGCTGGCTACAGGCGTGGTCCGGAAGTTAATGGAGTGCTTCTTCGCTCAGAAAGAGCTACGATGGCTGGACGATCTCCTTCCCGGCGCCAACAAGAAAAAAGACACAGATATGGTTTGTTTATACATTAATCTTATAATATCAAATTATTTTACAAATGGTTGTAATTAATTAAAACTATCTATGTCATTTGACCCTTAACTTCCAATGTCAAGAAATGATTCTCTATCGGAATACTGCATTACTGTCCTTACAAGTTAAACCGGTAACGTTCATTTAATGATTTTTATGTGAAAGGTTAAAATGAATGCAAGTTTGTCTCTATTATTTCCATATATAAGTTTGTTTAAAGTTTTTTATTGAGCTTAAATAATTACAGATCAAATTGTCACATTTTTTTTTACAGAATGGAGTCAGTAAAGTCCCATACAAATCGTTCTACGCCAGTTCTTCCACCAATGGAAGCGTTCTAGATATAAACGACAAGGATGACTCAATCAAACCAACATTTTTCGTCTCTGATGAATGTGATGCTAGTATCATGCACAGAAAAAGTAACGGAACCGGAAACACGAAATTATAACCCGGAAATGCCGCCATTACTATGGCTTCATACAATCTTCTGTCTGTGAATAAACTTTTCCTAGAGCAGTGGCGTTTTGACAATTTGAAATCCATAGTTTGTTTTATTATCTACATTGTTTTATGATATCTTTGTTAGAAAAAAAATTTTAGACGAATTTTTTAGATTGATTTACATAAATGTTGACGATACAATTTTAAAACATTTCCACGAAAGGTTGCTATAAACTTTCAAGATCAAATTGCTTAAAAAAATAAATGTACTAAGATGTTTCTGGTATTGTTATCGACAAAAACGAAGTACGCAGATCTTGAAGAAAGTAAAATCTGTTTTACAGATGGTTATATAAAAAATACATTTTTATATTTTTTTCTTTTAAATATTTTGATACTTTTTAATATTTTATCCCTGATTAATTTACTAGTAAGTGACCACATCTGTGATTGATTTTCTCTCAATTTTTGCTTTTGAATAATAATCTTTTTCTGAACTTTATGAAGTTGATTTTTTAAATGTTTATTGTATCGGGATTTTTAATGTAAGTCTGTGTGAATGTTTCCATGTAGTGCTATTTTATAAGGTAACACTCAAAGTGTTGAAACATTTTGGGGGAAAAAATGTAATTAAAATCAAAATTATTGAGAGTAGCTGCTACATGAGATATCTTTATTTCATTCTAAGCAGTGTGTAGAAAAGAAAAAAAATTATTAGCTGCCATTTTATGTATCATATCATAGTTTTATTTTTTAAAACTTGGATATACTTGTATACCCATATACGCAATTCAACGGTGCTGTTATCCTTTTCATGCAGAAATTTTGAAATCCTTTTTTCTATAACCACTCTCCTTTTCTTTCATTTGCTTTTTATTTCAGTTTTTATTAATTGCTTTTGTTAGTAATAGATTTGACCTCTTCCAGGTAAATAAATTTGAGAATTGAAATATTTTGTCATTGTTGTTATGCCAAGAGGTTATACATGTACTTAGTATTGAATATACAATTTTTAACAAAATACTGTTGGCTTATTTCATATTTGTAAGGGTGAAAAACTGTGAATATACACGTGTAACAAGGGCAGTTACTGTATAAATGGCGTCTGGTGAATTTAAAATGCGGGTCGAAATCGTTTGATTATATATTTGTTCACGCATTTTATATAATAAACATTTAGGGTTGAGCAAAAAGTACAAATGTACATAATTTGAGAATATGAGAACCATGACCGAAATCATGTTACTTCATCTTAATTAAATATCTGAATTCTTTTTCGTTCTAAAGCAATCTTAGTATTCCATGTTTTATATTAAGTGAAGGTAAAAAAAAAAATTCCTGAAGTATTCAGTATTAGTGTCTAATGCATTTATTTCAAATAATGAAAAGATTTTAAATTCAAAAATAATCTAATGGTAAAGAACTGATGAAAAATAAGTAAAAATCAACAACAACAAAAGCAAGTGAAGACCTGTGCATGGAATTACTTTATTCAATTTAGTTATAAAATCACAAAATCTCTAGACGGATTGTAAATTGACTAGAATAATAATGACTAAAAATAGAACATTATTTTGAGGCACGATCAGAAAAATTCAACAATATACATGTATACTAGCAATGCAGTGCAATAAAATTGAAATGTTGCTATATTATTGTATATATTAAACATATAAGGGGACTAGCAAAAAGTATACCATCTCTGAAATAGTCTAAGTGAAGAGACCATGAAAACGCATGTTAAAAAAATGACTAGACATGAATGAATTTGCACAACATCAATATTTTATCATTAATATTACATGTATTTGATTACTATTTCCTAATTATTCAACATATATTTCATAATAATGCAAACAAACATTGGCAAGATCTGTGCATTGCTTTCTGGCTGACCTGCTTATTGCTTGTATTTTTAGCAAACATAGATACATTGGGTCACGAGTAGCTTCAGAACTGTAGCGTTATGGCTTTTATATTTTAGTCTTGACCACAATGGTCAAAGACTAAAATATAAAACCATAACGCTACAGTTCTGCAGCTAGGTCACGAGCTAATTATCATGGCTATCTGTGTATGATTCTTTTAAGTTCGAATCACTGTGCTCTAATATTAATTCGCTAAGACAGTACAGATATTCAGTATCATACTTCACTGAGTGTCTTTACTAACTATGCGTTCCTGACATGACTCACGCTACATTCAAAATTAATATGTTGCCTATATATTACAATTGACTTATTTTTGCTTAAAAAATATAAACACGTAATGTTACAAATTAAAGATATAAAAATTAATTAATTGTATAAATATAGACCTATAACATCTCACGGTACAAAAGTCAAAATGATAAAAAAAAAATGCCCTAACTATTGTGTTTTTCTTTGATCATGACGTTACATTGAAACAACCACAAAACCAGACTTAGATTGAGATGTGACCCCTAACCAGTGACGTCAAAGAGGTTAGAGGCGGCACTGATGATGTTCATTTCCGGGTTGACGGTGGAATCAGGTCGGTATTCCGAAATTTCATCTAGTATAATATATGGATTACAATCCTGAGATGATGACACGTGACCTTGTGGGAAGATTCCGTTATCGTTCGGATTTCTAACATTGATGCCGCACATGTATGGTTCAACAGTGCTGTCACATCTCATGAAGTTTGTCGACGTCACAGCCTCGACTTGAAGAGAAGGCACCGTGGAGGATTTGGGCACTTGAATTGGACTTGCGTCACTTGATGTGGTATAACCAATGGACGAAGGGGACACTTGGCAAGACGGATCTCCTCGAATAGGAGAATGAATATGAGAAGAGTAAGAAAGCATCTGATTGGGCGAAACTGAGGCACTTATGATATGGTTAGGAGATAACTGATTAAAGGTCTGAAAGTTAAATGTCTGATTATATTGGTTACTGTTGTGAGATAAATGGTACGAGTTGCTATAATAAAACTGAAAGGGTTTCCCATATGAAGACTCCGGAAGAAGAGTCCTTGGGTTCAGCTGAAGTCCCCCGGCGACGAGATTCATCGTGTTTTGAGATAGTCCCTTTGACAAGGCTTTGGCGAACGTAATGGAATCAGGTTTCATTCCAGCTTTTAGAATATCTGCTAAGGCACCTATGTAATTTCTTGCGAGACGTAGGGTTTCTATTTTAGACAGTTTTTGGTTTTTAGAATAACAAGGCACATGTTGTCTTAAAACATCTAGTGCGTCATTGAGTCCATGCATTCGGTTACGTTCTCTGGCATTAGCCTTCACTCGACGCAAGCGCAATTTCGCTACTCGAGCCTTAGTCATCCGTTTCTTTTTTGGACCCCTTTTTTTCGGCACCTTAACGTCATCTTTCTGTGACTTCGACTCTTTCTCGTCAGTTGTTTCTGCGTTTTGAGAAATGTTTGACGATTTAATGCTGCACTGATCAAAATCACTCTCATTTATATCAGAAAGATCTTCTATATCCGCGTCTTCAAAGTCACTTCCGGTCAAACTGAATTCTGGATCTGTGTCCATGATTGATGTATCCAGCCTTATAGGCATACTCCAAGCTACAAAGGATAGATTTCTTTAATGATGATTAAATGCTGAGTGAGGTTTAAATAAGCTGTAAGAATGTTCTTATTGTAAGAGTACTAATATGTGTGTACACACATCTATAAAAATGGTTTTATTATACTGAACTATATCAAATTATACTCTTGCATTTAAATGTTAATGTATATTGAAAACTAAATGTAAATGTTTCATGTTGGGTGCATAGCTTCCTATAAAAAAACAGATACGTACATATCCCCCTAAATAATAAAATAAAGATAAATGATAGAAAGAGAGATTTTCGGACCATGAACAGACTTAAACTAAAAAGTCAAATTTTTAACCATCTACTTGATGATTATTTATTTACTGTGAAATGAAGCTCGGGCTTTGCAGGTAACAGCACTTTGGTGGTGTCTCATACATTATTCTTATTTTGGAGTGTTTTTCTTCTACACCATTTCAGTTTAATATTTTAGGATTGTAACTTAAGTTTATTTTTTTCAAATCCTGGAGCCTGGAATCACTAAGAAACCGTGATCACCAAGAAAATTCAGGGTTTTTTTTAGTTTTTAGTTAAAATAATGTCTTCAAACGCTTGAAGAAATTAAGTTACATCTCTATAAATCATATAAAAATTCTTCAGTTTTCTAAAAAATCCCAAAAACTTTTGTCCCCTCCCCAGGATCCACTAGGCTCCTGAGGTGCCCCCCCCCCCCCCCGATCCATCGCTGGTAGTTGACATGCACATATTTTTCATTGATTGTTGAAGATTAAATGACCAGAAGTTGATTACTAGTATTTGCAAGGTAGAATTAGCAATAACATATTTTATTAAGCTGCATTAGGAATAGTATATTGTGTGCACGTTTCTCCCCAGCACAATTTTGACAAAATCAATCCTCGTTACCCCATTTTTGGAAAACTATAAATATGTATCCACTACAGAATACAAAGTAAAAGATTTAATTTACAGATTTAATCGCTAGTTTTTTATTCCATGTTTGTAACGCATGTAATTGATATTGAATACACTCACTGATTAGGACCCTACCTTCTGTTCTCTTTATGTTGAAAGTAACTTTTTTCTTTACCTTAAATTCAAGCCACTTTTCTTACGGTTGTTTGTTATTCTAACTGCTTTAATTTACCTTATATTTATGTATTTTTTAAAATCAAGCCAAATATTATTGCGCCAATATAAATATATTTTTTTTAATTTTTAGTCTTTAAAGAGTTTAAAGAATTTAAGCAATTTTATTTCATTATTCTACAATGTGTTATATATAAGTGATGAAATTTTCAGATTGTGCGTAAACGGTTATTGGCTGGTGTTTCCTGATTTAGAAAAAAAAAAGAAATATCAGTCCTGAAGAGAAATTCCCTGGAAATATTTTTTTCGACTTGAAAATGGATATGAAATAATATAAAGTCTTGTATCTTTGATTACGATAATTAATAAACCATGCAGTGGATATTCGAATGATGATTTGAATGATATATCGTTCAATATGCATGCAACCTTTTTTAAAAGTCAATCAATATAATGTAAAATTGAAAAAAAAAAAATAAGAAAAGAAATTGGAACATGGCATATTAGTATAAGTTATACGTGGTAAAATTGATTAACCTATACTTACACCTGAGCAATCGCCTTACTTAATAGGAAGATGCCAAGTCCATGTAAATGAAAAAAATTGAGCGAAATGAACAACAAAATTACAGCACGACTTACACGTCAGGCAATCTCAAGGCCCCCGGACCGTAAATAATGAATGAGAATCAAAGTCAATAAGGGTAGCACACAGAAATATAAATAATTCCCATTTGGGGGGAAGAATGTTTCATCCAGGGTGTTGGAATATTTCTCGTTCAGAATATGGGCCGTCTGACAATTTATACCCGTTATTTCTCACGCATAATGAATAAGACAAGTTTTAATTGTCAATTAAGAGTTTTGACATCATTTGGTGGTCTGGTAATACTTCTAGAGAGAAAATAACGGAACAGCAGGTCCAACTTCATTTTTTGTCTTCCATCATAAAAATCATCCTTTATAATCAAATTACATTGATTAGTCCAGATAACGTTTGAATCACTGGGGCATATCAGGAAAAATTTTACCCTCGTCGTCTTTTGTGAAAAAGTCTGGGCCATCTGTGCTCTTAACACCAACTGTGATGTTTGAGCATGCGCACACACAATAGAGAATACACTCATTCCTTTATCGAATTTATAACAATACAAGAAATCAAAAACAAAATGTGTTTCGTCATTGTTTTTCCGTTTTTGATTTGCAATCCCTCGCATATAATTTAAAAGAAAAAAGGAATATCAAAAGCTTTTTCGTCGATAAGACACACATTACTAGCTTTGAAAGTTTAAGCATTGGTATCCAATTTCTCCTTCTTGAATGATAATTATAGTTTTTAGATGTTAATAGATAGCTAAGACCAGCCTATTTCTGACAATAAAAAAACATGTCATGGATACAGCGTTATAATTTAATAAACGAAAGTTTAACCCTCTTATCATTTCATTTATATGTACAATGTGATGAAATCATGCATTATTACTTTTTTTAAAAGTAGCATTTATTTATTGATTCGGTATTAAATGAAGAGTTTGGGATTAAGAATGATCAAAAGAAAAATATCGCATATTTAATGTTAACAGTGTCTTTGAAATCAAAATTTTAATTATTTATCGATTGATTTAAAAAAATCTTAAAATTCTATTCTCTTATGATTAAATAAGATATGAAGAAAAAATGAAATTAATTTAAAAAACATGCTTTTAATATATTTGTAGTCAATATTGTGAAGGAAAGCACATCTATACACTGTACATGTATGATACAAATGCTTCTAATTTTTTTTTAAATATATATTTATTCTTTTTTTTCAGTATTTTTTTTTAACGAATTCGTGCAACAAATTCATGATAAAAAAAGTTTTTCTTTTCAGAAAAATTGTATTTTTTTTTTAATTCTGATAATAATAAAATAAGAAAACAAATTTTTCACATGCTAAAATGTGTTTAAAACAGTTACATATCACGCAGATAATATTGTCAACTTCAAATATCAAAGTGATATTTACGCCCTCTAATTTTATATTTCCAGGCGCAAGTTTTTATTGCATATTAAGGTTATGTTCCTTCCGAGACACAGATCGGCGCGTGGCGGACACACGTCCAGAATGCGATACTTCCATTCACGAAATTCAATTATTTACATTCCTATTCAGGCAGACATTGGTCACTCAATTTAAGGAAAAGTTTGACAAAGTGCAGAGTCGTCAAGAATATCTGATTTTTGACGACAAATGCAATTTCAGATTGTAACTTGTCACTCAGCATTTAAGGAATCCCCTACCATATTTGATCAGGGTGTGTATTAAAGTGGCAAGACCGCTTATATTTCTTTGTTGTTTCATGTTCTGTGAACTGAATTTTTGAGGTGCATGGGTATATTTCAGGCAGGTTCCTACCCAAAAGAGATTTTTGAAATAGTGTCTGATTTCTAAAGTGAGGAAACATGGCCTGATATTAATCCCTTCATGTTTGGACCCCGTGGAACAATATCCATTAAGAGAATTAATGAAATTTATAGTCTTTTCATGTGGTTCTGTCAAATTAAAGTGATTCTGGTCAAACTCTCTGCGCACAAAAGACTTTGGTCTATTTTTGGAGGTTAAAGTAAGCGAATCCCCCAGTGAATCAAAATTGGTGCATTCGATTGCAGAGACATTTATGCGGGGCGGTGCATTGCGATTTACGCTCCTATAATAAATGAGTCGGACTCGATTGAACTTGAGCGCAACGCCGATGGATTCCCGTAATACAGATGACCAGATCAAAGGATTTGTAACGTATCCCCTCCGCCACTGATCTTGTCGCCCAGAGAATCCAGCGGACACCTGCTTCTTCTAAATTCGCTTAATGAAGTGGTTGATGACCCATCCTCTCTTACCATTGTCCTTCCGTAATGTGTGAATGACAATCGAACGCGCCAGTTTTTCACAGTTTTTAAGTACCCTCAACTGGACGCGAGGTCTATATTGGAAGACGTTTATTGTAGGTTTTATTGAATTTTGAATATTCTTAAATTTGGTCTGCGTGAAATAGACTTCCCTAATGACCTTGTTTTAATTGGACTGTATCAATAACATCATCGGTTTAGCATAAAATTTGGTTCCAGTCGATACAAATGTTCCATACTGTTTTTATTGAGAAATAATGCCATGTAATCTAATAAAATTGAAATCAGTGCAGAGTCCTGTTTGTTTAAGTCTCTAACTTAATTCGTTATGAAGAATTCATACTATTTGGCTATATAATTAATCATTCAAAATACACACAAGTGATTTTCATTTTCAACATCATAGTTGCTCTTGCGACAGTTAAATTAATAATTGCCATATTTGAAAAAAAAAATCATGAATAAGAAAAGAAGCACACGTCCTTCAAACGTCTTCATATATTTGTTCACTTAGCAATGTACGAACAGGCAACTTTTGTTTGTTTTCCTATATTTTCAGGCTCGTGATGTATGGAAAACGTTTGAGGACATAGTACAATATATACTGTAGTAATATATATATTTTATATATAGTACTACAATAGATTCATTTGGGGCGGGGATATGTTTCTAACATGCACTCAGGGCCCAAAATACTAAGACCCTAGGTGATAATAAAAAAATGAACAAAAAATCAAGCCGATAGAAAAATTTTCAAATACAAATATATCTTTTATTTGACAAGAACATTGCGTGACCTCTCAAAAACGAAAAAATAACATGAATATTTCATAAAATATACCATTGACATGTAGATGTTAAATGCACAACAGAGACAATTTCTGTCAACTTTTCCTTTATCACAGGCAGGTGAATCACTAGTGACTTGAGTTTTGATTACACACTCAATGCATATTTAATCAGGCGAAGCCGCCAGGGACCTTATTATTTTATAATATCACCGCGAATCTTAGCGTGATCTTGGGCGATTTAAGGCGCTATCTTTTGCTTTTCAAACAGAAATAACTTCTTTCAAGATGAATTATGAAGAAATTGGATTTTTATTTATTTCTTTAACTGCAAATCTAGACAATGATCAAAGATCATACTGATTCTAGACTTCGTATCCAATTAACACAATAAAGCGATTCTCTTCTTGTCTTCGCAATTCAAAATATGAAGATATTTTCAATAATGCCAATAAAAAAATTATTCCTTTAAGAATCAGAAGGAAACGCAATAATTATTAGATGATAAATGAGTTCAGTGAGCATAGAGGCCAAGGATGTCATAATATGTCTTGTCTGTTTGTTTTTTTTGTTTTTTTGTTTTTTTTTAATTTAAGAGCCCTCTATACACTTCACACTAAAGAGTTCTGAATCTTTGGTATTTTTATGCAGGTAGAGTAATCTGCCCTTTGATCAAGCATAAAATTAATTGAAATGTATATTTTATTACTTAATTTGTGATCAAATCAAGCATTCATAACACCTTAATAGGCCAAGATGAATAGCTAGAACACTTCATTTACAGGTATTTTGCCCACTTATGTAAACAACAGTGATTTATGTTCATCAGTACTACACTGTATTTGCACATTTTCCTAAGGGTAAATACAAGTTACCCTATGTTAAAAATGTAATAGATAAGCTTAATATCTACACCTTTACATACTATAATTTTTCAATGTCCAAAAAAACCCTTTTTCTTGAGTGTATAGAGGGTCCTTTAAAATATCGCAAAATGAAATTTAGAATACTTTCTGCCTTATAACTATTGAAAGTTTCTCTGAATTTTTCCCCCTTCATACAGATATAATGCCGTTTATTTATCTTTTAATGAAATACTTTTTTTAGCTAAGAGAGAGAGAGGTGAAGTTGGAACAACTGTTATGTTCAGTAGTTCTTTCACCATAACATAAATCTGTAAACTTCCAAACAAATATACAAAAAGTGAATAAAAATGTACAAATTTAATGTATATCTACCTTTTCTTGCTACTTTTGAATTTAAAATGTTCTATATTAACGCAAAACGCAAGTATTTGTGAGTATGTCAAAAACAATCAGTTCCTCAAGTAAATAAGAAAATTATTAGTGAATGCAGTAGGACTCTTGAATAAGATTAACTATTGTTAAAAAAATACATTAATTATATATTATTTCGATGGGATATAACTAACTAGAGGGTATTTTAAAATAACAGATAATTTAACAGCATTGGTTAACTTGTTCGTAAACTGCAAATGAATGAACAAAAAATGATATTGGAATCTTATCCTCTTTGCGCGTGTCGTTCGATCATTAATTCGAACGAACAATGGGCTCCCCCATATTATACTAGAATTCTGTTGGAGATGATTGGTCGTTAGAATTAAAGGGATTAACGTTATTTGACCAAAGAAATTTGTTTTTAAAAGGCTTTTATCACGAGTTATTGCGATTTTCCATCGAAATGCATGTGCAGATAATTATTGAAACACATGAAATTTTATTTTGTCTTTGTGTTACAATCATCATACAAAAGGAATCAAATATCACTTCATCTTTTCCACTTCTATAGACACTAAGACAAAAAAAAAATCTTTCAGTAACTGCATTATATGACGCAAAAATATGTAAGGAAACAAGGAAAGTTAACTCTCATGCACTATTCATTATGAAGATGGTGAGATTTTTCTTTAACAAATAATCATCAAATGACTCTAGACGTACATTTTATACATATTTTAATTATATCCAATGTTTTTTTTTTTTTTTTTTTTTTTTTTTATCTTATTCAGTTTATAATTAACAATTCTGTGATTGTCATAATTGTCCATATATTTTGCATACGCTAAATTTGAAACAAATTAAATGGTTGTATAATTTTCAGTGTTAAATGAAATAAGTCATCAAAGAAAAAAAAAAAACTTTAAAAAAAAAAAAAAATCTTGTATTCTTATTTTAAAATTAATCTAATTCGATTCAGGTCGAGAAAAAGAAAATGAGTAAAAAAGCACTATATATACCTCTTCTTTAAATGGAAAGGAAGTTCACATTATTCTGTTATAATGGTCTCTCGCACGTCTTTTCCTCGGTATTTTTCTCTTTCTCTCTACTTGAAATACCTCTTTTTAATTTCTATCACCTCCTTATGTCAGTGAACCAGATAAAAAGCGGATCCTTTACTAATGTTAATTATGATGCAAATGTAAATACGAATTTATCTAAAGAAATACCCGCCCGAGACTCGGAGGTCCGCATCTGTCACTGAAATTCTAGAATTATAACTGCAAATTTTATTCCTGCTCGTCAATACCGCCACTTTTCTCTTATCTGAACGATATGCTATTTGATCAATATCTTACAATGGGATGGTAAACAGCTACTGAGTTATATCATGTCTTAATCAAGCTTTATTACCGATTATATCTCCCATTAAAATGTGTCAAAAATAAAAATAAATTACGATTTGGGAAAAAATAAATTACTAAACGTCTTTTTATCATTGTGTAGCATTTTTGAACAAAATCCCTCAAAACTCCAGTTTTTTGTTGGTATTTTCTGTATCTATTGTCTTGACAGTCGCCCCACCCACTAAGTTTAAAAGATCAAAATTGTCCTTATTTGATAGTGCACACTTTATATCGCCAGAACGCTATTAAGCGGCATTATCTTGGAATAGAAAAGTAAACACTTATCTCAAGTTTTCGTGTCAGTTGAAAAAGAGCCTTGGAAATGGCACGCGCCAGAGTCTACCGTAACCCGGGAAACGCTTTGCGTGCATGGCAACGGGACCTTTCCCATACCCGAAGAATCAAATGCCACTTTTGTCCACGTTTTACGACACTAATTAATACTTTAGGAATTATGCATTTCATTCTTATCTTGACACGCTTCCGTATAGCTGAATTGGTGATATATATTAATTATAACCAGAGTCCATATTTTGCAATCGGACACAGCTAATTTATCATTTCATTCGTCATTATGAAATTTTCATCAGAAATGGCGATAGGAAACGTGTATAACAAAACAAACTAACCCTCATATGAAAAGTCCTAGAGAGTGCATAAATGACAAAAGCGCTCGTGCGAGAGAGAGAGAGAGACTACAAATCGTATCAATTTTTATGATATACTTTCCTGATTTTTCAATACAGACAGTACAAAGACAAAGACATTAGATGTATTTAAAATATAATTTCCTTACTTCATAAAGACTTAACATGCGATCTTACACACTGTGCACATTATTTTTTGTTTCGTAATTCTGCAAATTGTGTATCAAGGAAGGGTACAATTCTGATGAATAAGTGGAACAAAATTGCAACAAAGCCTTTTTATTTCTATGATTATTCAATCGCACGTTCGTATCTAGTTTACAGTTTAAACCCCCCTCCCCCCCCCCCCCCCCCAAGTAAGACAGTATACACTATACATGTACTTGTATTCAAAACGTCAACTGAAATATAATAATATAACTTTGAAAACTATGGTATCATTCTTAACTTTTAATTACTTTATATTATATACAACGTACTTTTTTTTTTTAATTTAAAAAAAAAAAATTAAAGAAAATTTTTTATTCCTAAACGAAATGAACTCAATAATTGATTTTATGCAAATGTATTCAGCATCTTCAATTGTCCAGGGATTCCGTAGGCATGCTGAAAATGTTCTCTTGTTTACAAAGCACTTAATCCTACGTTATAAGTAAATGATTGCATGGGAAAAAAGATGTCTTCATAAATGTCCTTCTAAGACGAAAATCTAGATTTCTCACTGACAGACAATAACCTTCCATTGCCGTCACTGTATGTGTATATTAACTTATAATTAATATTTCACGTGCAAAATGAAATATATTGTAATCAACCCATGCTGAAAAACCAAGAATGACTTTGTCATATTGTAAATTTTGAATTTACCGTGTGGTAGTAAATATAAAATATACAATATTGTAAATTTTGTATTTACTACCACCCGCTAAATTCAAAATTTACAATATGACAACTTAAATAATTGTAAATTTATTAAATGTTATAAAGCGGCAATAAATTGTAATTTAATGTTGGTCATGATTTAATGTATATGCTGCACTATCGTTTGTCTTAATATTATAATGTTCATATCAATAATCACGGCTTTTCACAGATAATGGTTACACATAAAATGTCCTTATCGCAAATAAGCGTGTCATTTTTATCTGGAAACGCAATTTTGGTGTTAAACCTGTTGTCAAAGGTGTCACTAACATGAAATAAACCTAAGATTACTTTCATATATTTTACGTTTTAAGAGAAGAAAGAAAATTCCAAAATGGACTTTTACTTCAAATTTCGAGAATTTTAAAACATTTGTACATATTCTCAGCAGTCAAAAGTACAGAAAAAAAACATATATACATTGTATATAATTATTATATATATTAGGAATAAGGTATTGAGTTCTTGTAATTAGCCACACAAAAAGCAATAAACAGACAAAAGTCTGCTAATAACACTAAATACTTATCACCCCCCCCCCCCCCGAAAAAAAGAGAGAGAAAAAAATAACAAACAAAACAAACAAAAATTCCATTTTTTTAATCAGTTGATATTTAGTTTATAAGAATGTATCGATATCTGTATGAAAATTAATAATATAGCATACATTGTGGACCTGGTTCTGTGGCTATAGCGTGAAAATGACCGACCTTGTCACACATCATATAGTGGCCATTGGGCGCCAAAATTGTCATCAAGGAGGTATCCCGAAACTCCAAAACAAATGGGACAGGCACGGCGCTGTCCGCCTTTACAGTAGGATGTCCCCCACTTTGTAGATTGAGACACCAATATTTTCCATTCTCACTTTGTAAACTGTATCTCCCATCATTCAACTGGTCAAGAGTTATGACGCTGGGGTAAGCTTTGGTGCAGATGTACTCATCTTTGTTACTTCCGGGAACAGTTTTAATTCCGATAAAACCGAACTCGGACCGGAAAACAATCACAGGCCGATTTAAAATCCGGATTTGAAAGCCGTCGTCCTCGGCGTCTTCCGGGAGACTAGCGGCAAGATTACCGGTCCCTTTGCTTACTAGTCTTTTCCCATTGGATCCTTTAATGCTTGCTCTACCATTAGACAACCAAATGATCTCGAACATATTCTTGTCAGATATAGAATTAGTACTTGCTTCTATGCGACCATCTTTGGCAACTCCCCAGAAGGTGCCGTCGTAGGTTTCGATGTACCATTTCCGTGATGTACTGTCGTATTCTAACTATTTAATGTAAAGATGGAAGATTTCAAAAGCATTCTGTACATTCTGTAAAAAGTACATTTCAAAAGACGTACATGTATATTTCGTATCTATTAACGATAGGTAAAGAAGGAACTGAATCGTTGTGCTATTTAATAAATAAAATGCTTCTTTATAATACTCCTCAAAATAAAATATAACAGTTAAAACAAAACTCTTTACGATTTTTTTTTATGTATTCAGTAATGCATGTATTTATCTGCCAGTTTGTTTTAATGATACCAGACTTTTACTCTGAAAACAGTGAAAACTTATAAAAGTATCTGTTTGCATTTGTTTGTTCAAATTTGTTTGCTTGATTTTGTTGTTCTATTTTCTTTGTTCTTCTTTTTGTGCTCAATTTGATTTTGTATTCTACTGAGGAGTTCGTTATGAGACTATAATTTCGATTATTTCAGCCAAGTACATATTTTTTTCATGATATATCAAAAATTTCAGATTACGAAAATAAAAAAAAAATTATATGGTTAGAGTCTAATGAAGACAAATTAATTATTATAAAGTTAAGTACATGTTAATATCTTATCAAAGCTTTCAAAAAAAAGGCATAATGCCATGAGTATACACAAATGAATAATTTTGAATACTTATACATACAGACCGTATGGTATTTACATGTATTTTACTTAGTTGTATGTACTTTTAACATAAAATGTTCTAGCTACATATTTGTATACTGGTATATATTGTCAATACAGGTCTATGAATGATCACATGTCAAATGCAATTTGATAACCCCAACTGCCGCACCTACAGTTATTTGTATGGATTATTTTAGCTGCAGAACTGTAGCTCTCTGGTTGAGAAAATTCGGACAGATAAACCAGAGAGCTACAGATCCAAGCATTGTAAAACCTTCGATTTACATGTACGCCGCCGCTTTTTTGTCGCTCGCTTCGAGTATATTTCTTGTATTCCCCAATTCACAAATGGTATCTGATAATAAACTATATATTTTACTCCCATTCCTGACACTTTATTTACCTTTCAAAGGTTCCAAATGGCCGTATGTAGTCTTGAAGTATCAGTTTTTAAAAAATGCATTCCGAGCTCCACGTTGGTGTAATGCTAAAAAATAACACGCCCTCATTTATCTCATTTGGAACCGTTGAAAGGTAAATAAAGTATTAAGAATTGGAGTAAGATATATGACCAGATACCATTTGTGAATTGGGGGAACGCATAAAATACAAGAAATAATACCCGAAACGAGCGACAAAAAAGCGGCGGCGTAAATCGAAGGTTTTTACAATGATTGGATCTGTAACTCTCTGGTTTATATCTGTCTGAATTTTCTCAACCAGAGAGCTACAATTTAGGATTATATCATATATATATATATACATATATATATATATATATATATATATATATATATATATATATATATATATATATATATATATATATATATATATATATATATATTAGGGATGTCAACGAATAGTCGACTATTCGACTATCAATCGAATGGACCGACGATCGAATAATGAAACGACATTCGAATATTATTTTAACTAAATAAATGCAATAAATGAGTGATAGATGAGATGGAATTCTCATCAAAAAATTGAGAAACAGTCTTCCTCATAGACAGTCGATAATTTTCCTCAACAAAAACGGTAGATTTTCCATGTACGTATAGAAAGTACAGCAATTATAAGTGCTTCACTAATGCGAAGATTAATTGTCAGTTACTGCCTGTGTTGTTTTTATAATAAATTACCAACCAATGTAATGGGCTTTGTTAGTAAAATTATTAATTGGACTTGATCTTATACCATGTACCATTTATCTTTTGTTATTTTAAGTTTACTCAAATGCAAGGAATAAACCTGTTTTGATACTTCGATAATTATTAAAACAATGCGCTTACATTTTAAACTGTTTGAGGATATTTTGATAGCCCCCCCCCCCCCTCCTCCACTTTATTTCATAATAAGCTTTAAAAAATATCGGCTGTCAATTTTTTAATGCTTACTAAATAAAAAATGACTGCATGTTCAGGCCGATTTATGAATTCTATTGACGGGGAAATAATAAATTTTGGAAAATTAGGTTTCAAAATTTATTTCATAGAATCATGCTATCCACGCGTTACGTTGCATTAATTTTGATGTTTCTTTGTAAAGGTTTTTGAGTATGTACCAATGAAGTTTGAAATAAAATTGTATTTTCAGAAAATGTTCCTAATATTCGACTATCGTTCGAGTAATGCAATCGAATGATCGACTATGGAAAATAAATATTTTGACATCCCTAATATATATATATATATATATATATATATATATATATATATATATATATATATATATATATATATATATATGCATGTTTATAAATACAGTGTATGTGTTTGTGTCTATCTATGTGTATATGTACAGTGTAACCTTTCATTCCGAACTTTCTATCTCATCGTTGTAAAAATCTTGTATGCCTTCTGGGCCCAAAATTGGAAAACACCAGATGTGTCGTAACGCCACGAATGCCCCCAAAGGCGGTCAAAATTATATTTTAAATTTGTTTGCACAAAAGATTTTTTTCTAAGTTCAAGAGGGGCAACTCTTTCAAAAATCATCATCAAAATTCGAACTTGACCTGTATTTTCTGGTAAAATACCTGCATATGCAATTTCAGCCTTGTACACACTTCCCTACAAAAGTTAGAGAGCGGAAACTGAAAATTTCTCCATCTTTTTTTTTTTTTTTTTTGCTTGTCAGATTTTTTTGGGAAGTTGCCCCCCCCCCACCTCTTTTGAAACCTTTGCTACTGTGGAGGGTAATCGTGTTCAAAAATCCAGACTTGTAAGTTTGTAAATCCAGACTTGTAAGTTTGTAAATCCAAACTTGTAATCGTATCAGTTTCATAGTCTACATATGTAAGTAGGTAATTCCGACATCCTAGCATGTAGTTCCGAACGTACAACTGTGTTGACTTTGAATTTATACCATGAATGTGTGTATTTTTGATGTTGTAAACTTGGTTTTTCCGGAATTTATATTTCCGCGCTCTGAATAAAACACAAAGACAATTGACAAGTCTACAAATGTAAAGTCTACATGATTGTCGAATTTTGATTATGAGGAACTATGGAGGGGCATCAGTGCCACATTCCCCCCCCCTTTAATTTTTCTAACTTCTTTTTCCAACTGAAATTAATTATCTAAATTTTATAACTTCCAATTTTATATTAATATTTTCATTTGAATTTCTTATTATTATTTAATTTTAATTCTAACTTTTTTTTATATGCTTTAAGTTTATTTTAGCTTCTTAATTTTATTTTATTTGACGATGTGACGTGAATCATTAACCGCTTATTCACGGCTTGCGCGGATCTAGAGGGGCTTCAGTTTTTAAGGTCTTAACCGAAAAATCGTTCGACTTTCAATGCCGAAGGAATAGTCATTACCAACACGTATGTTAAACGTCTTACATTTTGCCAGCCGGCACTAGGAACTTAGGACAAGCGAACTCCTACCTTCCCATGGCCTACGAAGCTAGCGCCCTAGGCTACTGTGGTCATTGCCTCAGTTTATTAAGAGCTAATGTAACTGCAATTATATCATATTAAAAAAAAAACACTCAGTAGATGCAGATCCGTATCAATGTTTATCGAAAAGGGGGGGGGGGCTCCAAAAAATTGACGATGAAAAAATAAATAAATAAACTGCCAAAACTCCTCCTTCGTGGGAGGCGATGTTTAGGATATCTTTCTTTAACTTTTCAGTAACTTTTTTTTTCAACGCAAGAATTTTCCAGAGTTTGATGATACTGCATGATAAAAGGGGGAAGGGGGACATAGAGCCTATAAATGAATTTTCATATTAAAACAGTTGCAAAAGATTATTCTCCACACAAAAAAGTTGGGAGCCCAACCTTTCGCTCCCTCCTACTTCGGCCCTGAGATTTGTTAGTGAAAAAAAATTCTCTGTCCTACTGTAAAAAAAAAATGTGATAACAATATCAATTTAAAGATACCTGATATTTGTGTACCATAAGCGGGCAATCAAAAATGGCGGTCATAATTATCATATTTGAAACATCTTGCACCAGGGCCATAAAACTTAGACGAGCTCACTTTTGATCACAGTCTCACGTTTACCAAAGGAATTAATTGTATGTAGAACAGAGAGACTGGGATCAAAAGTGAGCTCATCTAAGTTTTATGGCTCCAGACCAGGTCCGTAGGCAGCGAGTGGGGTGAGGGTGACAGTATATACTATACCAATAAAAAAAAAGCAATTTCCGATTGTGCCCCCAAAAATAATTTTGTCGGTAAATACATACGAAAAGAATCGTTTTGTCCCCTCTACAAGAATGTCTCATTTTTGGGAGGGGGGGGGGAAGCTTATCAAGAAATTTTTGTTTTGTGCCCAATGCTCCACCCCCACCCTCACCCAATTAAAATGCTGCTACGGGCCTGAAAACGAGAGAAAACACGCAAGAATATCATATGGTTTTTAAAATGAAAAAAAAAAATGTTCCAGGGAAATGTTTCTACGTTTCATAGCTAGACTGTTCGCCAAGATCTCTGTGTATCTGTACATGAAAGGCCTTAGCGCCCCGTTTTGTTTGAATTTTATTTGGATTTCTTAGTTTAACTCTGTTAGTTTCACTTTCTTAAACAAACTTTCGATTTTGCTTATAGTTGTTACCAAAAAAGTAATAAATTAGCTCAAGTGAAACATAATTGAAATTTTAAGATAGAATTAAAATACGAAAGGAAGCAAAATTGCCATAATAGAATAAAGAAAAGAAAATAAAACTGAAAAATAGAAACAAGAACAGGCACGGATCCAGGATTTTTTTTTCCGGGGAGGGGGGGGGGGTCCATCCCAGTCCAAATAAAAAAATCCAACCCAGAAATTTCTTGACAAACAAAAAAAAAAGTAAACTTGAAAGCATAAAAAAACCTATTTCGTGTTTGTGTTGGGGGGGGGGGTTCATCTTAACACAGATCAGCGTTTTCGATGGGGGGGGGGGGGGTCCAAGGTCACTTTCAGTTCGTTTAGTATATACATTTAATAAGTCTGCAAATTCCAGGGGGGGGGGGTCCGGACCCCCGATCCCCATCTAGCTCCGCTCATTCAAGGAGTAAGAATTAAAATAAGAAATATAAAATGAAGAATGTAATTTGGAAAACAAAAAGTTATAATAAAAAAAGAAAATAAGAAGATTTAAAAATAATTGTGGCACTGATGCCCCTCCATAGTTTTTCATTATCAAAATTCGACAAACGTGTAGACTTTACATTTGTAGACTTGTCAATTGTCTTTGTGTTTTATTCAGAGCGCGGAAATATAAATTCCGGAAAACCAAGTTTACAACATCAAAAATACACACATTCATGGTATAAATTCAAAGTCAACACAATAATTGTACGTTCGGAACTACATGCTAGGATGTCGGAATTACCTACTTACATATGTAGACTATGAAACTGATACGATTACAAGTTTGGAATTACAAACTTACAAGTCTGGATTTACAAACTTACAAGTCTGGATTTTTGAACAAGATTACCCTCCATGTGCTACGGGGCTTGTTTTGATGCATTAAGTGTGGCGCCAAGTAGATTCGAATGACGACTTTAAAAAGTACCTGCGACTTCAAACTCTAAAAAGTACCAGCGACTTCACGAGTCATCGGCCTAACCATCTGACATGTTCTGTGGTACATACATGTATATTTAAATATGAACCAAACTGACAAAGGTTTCCTTATTTTTTTTTTTTTTTTAATTTCGACCTACATGTAGGGTAGGGGTGTCCCATTTAAAATCCTATTTCAAATTATTGCTAAGACTCCAACCAATCAAAACATCATGATTTTATTTGGGAGCAGGTCTGCCCTGAATGACTTCTATAAGCCAAAATTCCTAACCCAAAATTGTTGCTTTATCGATATCGGGAAAATGCTGTTTTAGCCAACTTTGAATTTTTATTTTGAAATTGCAAAAAATAAACTTAAGGATTAAAGGGCAAAGAACAAGATATCGTTTCAATTAATATCTGCTCCCCCCCCCCCCCCCTCCTCTGAACTGGAACAAAGAAGTTGATTTAGACATACTGTAGAAAATACTTTGTAAAAATTGAACATTGATTTATAAATGTGAATTTTTTTCCGGGAAATCGTTCTCTTTTTTAAAGATTTTTTTTTTTTTTTGAAATTCCGAATATATTGTACAGTGTACATGCTTTTGTGAATGTGCACAAGAATTTTTTTCACTTGGTGACACTTGGAAAATTAAATTTGATAAAGACTGTTTTGAGAAAATTTTATTTGTACATGAATGCTTCGGAAAGGTAAACTTGGTCATGATGACGCAAGATTTTGAGTAGTTTTCCGTGCAAATTCTTCCGTAAAAAGAGATAACAAAGTAGTAAATTAACATATGAATTTTGTTGATCATTTTCCTTAAAAGAAAACTTACAGATTTTGAGTTTGTCATATTTTATGATCAATGTGTTACTAAAGAACAATTTTTGGCGACATTGGTTAATCGGTTTTTATAAGCAAGAGCAAAATTCCACGAATTAAGGTTATTGTTGTACTGTCGTAATTACATGAAAATAATGTTCTAAGGAATAGAAAGTGTTTAACAGTTAGATTACATATGTAAAAAGAAAGTTCGTACCTGAAAGATTTCCGATTTAGTTGGGGCTTGAGTGATTTTCTTCAGCATGACTTCCATCCCCACGGACGCTGTTTTCCCCCTGGAGCCTACAATGATTACCTGGGGGTGGCTCTCTTGCAGCCGGAAGAATTCCTCCTTTCGCAGCACTTTGTAGTTAGTTTTCAGAATCCCCGAGGGACCGGTCACAGATAGATACCTATCATCGTTGTCTTTGAAGGCTAAGCCTTTTAACGTTTTATCCTCGCTGAGATGGATTTCAATGCCGAATAGCGTATCGTCACCATTGGTATCGACAAGCGATCCATCCTTACAGAGATATCGATTATTGGCAGTTTTGAATCGATATTTACCACAACTAAACTCCATCGTAAACAGAGCTTTAGGACCCCAGGCTTTGACCCCGATCAATCGAACTTGAGTAGAGTCCGCTATCGCGTATTTCTTACCAAGCATTGAAAATAGTGTGACTTGTGGATGCATGGCAAACGGAGTGTACCACAAAGAAAGGTCCTCCCCCGAGGCTTTTTTAGCAAGACAATTAATTTGATCCCCAGTACCTGCAAGAAAATATTTATATTTCCAGCTTCTAAAAGCCCAACGGGCAGATCCGTCAGTGGCGTATTCTAAAACGAATTTTTCATTTTCTCCGCGAGTTTTGGCTTCACATGTTACTTTACCCAAGCGATCTACTGAAATGTAGTTTCTTGTGTAGCTACGGATGTAGATTGATTCGTCATCTTGAAATTCTACTGTCCATTTCTGTTTCTGACGAAGAGCGGAGCCTCCAGCGTTGATCTTATTTCCGTATTGTTCTGCAGTAAGATATTTTTCTTCTACATTTACAATGCCGATAACCCATTCAAACGTACTCATTTTTACACTTCATGCTCCATGACTTGATGACATATGCATTGTGACTTCAACATGTGGATTGTGACGTCACAATCATTAAGCGTAACACTAAACCTACCAATTATTACTTGGTCTATTCTGACAGGTCGACAGATTTTTTCTCGGAGAAGGCCGAGTGATCTTTGAAAGTATTAGTCTGTGAGCAGTATTTGTATTTTAGTATAAAATAAACTCAAGGTTAATTTACATGTACCTCAAGTAGAAAATATAATTGTATTTCTGTTTCACCAGCGATAAACAAGAAAATATTCTCCCTCCTTACCCCAACCGGCAACCGACTGAGTATAAATTTCATTATCGCATATGCATGTACATGTATGCAGCTGTAAGGAACACAGTACAGTCCCTGAAATGATCTACTTTCCCATTTTTCCCGTTTGCTGATCGTTCCTTCAGCGTGCGCTCTCGGTTCCCTCTTCGTTCGCTGTTTTGCGCTCACTGTTAACCAACTGCTAGGGCTCACCTTTCACGAATCGTTCAGCGTTCACGTATTGTTCACCTTTTTTTCTTCACTATGAAGTGAAAGTATCGAACTTCTTAAGGACTACAAAATGGAAAAGAACGTGTGCATAAAAGTGGAAGGAAACTTTCATAGAGGACCAGAAATATAATTTTGAACTATAAAACATCTAGGTTTACTGGATTACAAAAAGTGGAAATTCAAAGATATCTGCAGTCCTCCTTTATTTATTTGTTGCACTTTTCTTACAATGCCATGCGAGATTTTGTGCCGCTTGTTCACATACATGTAGGTGTGTTTTATTTGTTTGTTTTTTGTTATATGGAAGGAACCTACATTTAAGCATTGAATGATTTTTGAAAGTTGTAGTCTCAAAACTGCAACGGTGGGTGCAAACAGTTGAGTAACGCGCGTTAGCGCTTTATGAAAATTTGTTTGCACACATCGTTGCAGTTATGAGACTACATCTTTCAAAAAATAATGATTCAATGCTTATATTTACATTTTTTAACTCCTTGCCTTGACCTCAAATGTGATTTGTTTTGAAAAAAAACCCCTGTATTAGCCTTCGGGTATAAGTTACAATTAATGGAAGAGCCATTGCAATAGCTTCTGTTCAATGTAAGCGTGACTTGATTTTCGCTAATTACATTGCACTTGCACAGCGTTCAACGTTTGTGACGTCAAAATAAAATACTTTAAACCTTTTGACCCCATGTCCGTGTTATGGTGATTTGAATGCCGTCGCTTTCCACACACTTTATAAGAAAAATAAATGTGGAATGTAAATACATGTATTTGTATGTGACAAAAACGCCTCAGTGAATATTTTAAATTTCTTATATATCATTTTCTTTTTAAAGTCGTTATAAAATTTTGTTTTTAAAAATAGGGCCCTTGAAGATACTAGGATTTTTGTTTTTCTGCTTTCACTTTTAATTTCCGATGAAACCATGCACCCAGGAAGTCGATATGAAAATTACATTTATCACACTCAAAAATGAACCCCAGGCCCGGTTCGATGAGAATAAATCAAGCATTTTAAGTGCTTATTATCGACCTCCAGTGTTGGTATTCGTGGGAAAATTTCAAAGCATGTTAAAATTAATTTAATTTTACATTTTAATAATAAAGTATTACCTTCTGAGTTTACTTTAGAAAATAACGGTAATATCAAATTGATTTGATTAATATTTAATATTATTTTCCCCTCTACGTGTAAAAGGCAGTATGAATGTACATGTAATCTACTTATTTGTTTTTTGCGGAACTTTTGTAACATTAATTTCTAATGATGTATTTTAATAAGCCGACAGGCAATTACGAGGTGCTACATATCAGCATATGATGGAATTAATAATGAAAGATCGTCACCAAACATAATGTATGGCTTGAATTATCGAATATTGTTTTTGTACAGTTATCATAATCATTTAATGCTTTTTGGTTATTGAATCAGGTATTTAAACTATTTTTTCTTCATACATGAAATTCTCAAAATTTTAATACACATGTATATTTTATTAATGTATATGTATCGATGAGTATGTTTTCGTGTAAATCTTTCATCCTTCTCAAATTGTAATCGTCTTATTCAATATTGTGATTTCAGTGCTTAAAAAAATATTCGCCGATTAAATTTACTTATTATTTTGTTGCATCTAATTACGGAATAAGTACAATACAGAGAAAACATCAGAGAATTTTCCGAAAAAAATCGTTTATCCTGCGTTTATCTTGCGTTAATATTCACGTTTGCGTTCTGCATTCGCTACAAGTTCCGCTCAGCGTTCACAGCCCATTAATTCACCGTTCTATCACCGTTCAAGTGGGAAGAGAACGTTTCCGGGACTGCACAAAGGACAATAAATCTGTTGTAATTTATTAATAAGAAACGGAATACTAATAATATTATTTTCAAAAACTTATTTAAATTCCATCTTCACCGTATTCGTTTTCCTCATATACATACTTCTGATCAAATAGTGTGTCCACTATAAAATTATCTAAAACAAAGCTTCGGTGAAAGGCGTATGGTAAATGAGAGTGTGACTAGCCTAGGTAAGGTAGCCTCGATAGAAAGAAAATGTATAAAGGTCATTACCGTGCTCATTTCAAGTCACATTACAATGAATAATTTCATTTTTTTTTTTAGATATGTCCCAGCTATTTTCGTTAAAAAATATGTTCCACCTATTTTCGTTGATAATCAAAACTTAATTTTGAATATGGTCAGACGATAGAGGGGAGAACCTTAGTGCGCTTGAATGTGAAACATCAAAATGATTTAACAGCAATCATCAAGTTTTTATTTAACCATGCGAGAATCAAATTCTAGCAAAGAATAACATCAATTAGGCAAATTAAAAGAGTAATAAATAAACACTTTCAGATACCGTTTCTCAACAATACAATATACATTTTGGACCTATTTCCGTTGCTGACGCATAAAAATGGCCGACTTTGTCACAAACCATATATCGTTCATTGGGAGCTAAAATTGTAAGAGCGTTGGTATCCTGAAATTCTAAAATAAACGGTACAGGCTCGGCACTGTCAGCTTTAATTGTTGGATGGCCCCCGGTTTGTAGGTTAACACACCAGTATTTCCCGTTCTCGCATTGCAAACTGTATCTTCCATCTTCCATTTGATTCAAAGTTATGACGCTCGGGTACGCCTTGGTGCAAATGTACTCATCCTTGTTACTTCCGGCGGCCGTTTTAATACCAATAAATCCGAAATCACACCTGAGAACAATCACCGGGCGATTCAATATCCGGATCTGGAAACCTTCGTCTTTCTCGTCTTCTGGAAGACTGGCGACAAGATTTACGGTTCCCTTGCTCACTAGCCGTTTACCGTTGGGTCCCTTAATGCTTGCTCTTCCATTGGACAGCCAAATGATCTCAAACAAGTTATCGTCTGATACTGTTTTGGCATTCGTGTCCAATCGGCCATTTTGACCCACTCCCCAGAATGTTCCGTCGTAGGTTTCGATCGACCATTTCTTCTTTTTGCTATCATATTCCAGCTGTAAAATAAACGTTATCACTTGGATGTCTTTCTAGTGCCTTGCAGAGAAAAAGAATTCAGAAGTTATGTAAAATATCGGGGCTACAGAGATACTAAAGTAATCGAAAAGAAAACCGGGCTGTCTCCTTCGCATATTTCTGAAAATTGTAATCGAAAGTAAAGAAATCAAAAACATTTGCTGAAGTATTTATGCTATAGTCAAACATGCTATACACGTTGGTGAAATTAGTAGCTTTATTATCAGTTTTCATTTTAAAATCTCATTGTGCTACTATCAGAGGACTTTATCCCCACCTCAATGCACCAATGCACGACCCCTTCCCTAGGACTGTTAGATGTTTTCAAAATTACATCCTTGAAACACTTAAAATGTACTCAATATATTGTACACAAGTATTGAGGGAAATAGTAAAACGATTACTAGTGTTTTTTTAAGTACTAGCACAAACGGTATACATACGGATGAATAGAATAGAGTATAGTATACATTGTTGTTGGTATATAATTTTTATTCATAGAAATATGGTTTCAGAGATTTTTTTAGACACTTGAAATGTTTTTATTCAAAGTCCAACACCCTGTTCTGAGGTGTGATTATTTTTTTTTTTATTGGGGGGGGGGGGGCTTAAACAAAATTTGATATGGTTCTTATAAACATCCTTTTTCAGCGAAAAAGAAGTAAAGATAAACATTATATTTTTCTTTAAATTTTAAACACAACATATCAAAAATGTTTTAAAGGTCAATAAGAACAGTTACTACATGTACTTATAAATAGTCCCCGGAAAATCATTGAGGGTATTAACTGTACATGCTTCTGTTCAAATAAATATATATATAAAAAAAAATGAATGATAAAGATCTACACATACTTGAAAGATTTCCGAGTTTGTCGGGCCTTGGATCAATTTTTTCATCATGACTTCCATCCCTACGGTCGCTGTTTTGCCTCCTGGTCCCATGATGCTCACCTGGGGATGACTCTGTTGTAGTCGAAACAGAGCTTCCCTTCTAAGACTCTTCTGGTAACTCTTCAGCATTCCTGTAGGACCACTTGTTGATAGAAATCTTCCCTCATTATCTTTAAATGCCAGGCCCTGGAGTTTTTTATCATCGCTTTGTTGAATCTCTATTCCAAACACTGTGTCTTTATCGTGCGTTTCATTCAACGATCCGTCTTTACATAGATATCGATTATCTGCTGTTTTGATTCGATATTTACCACAGTAAAATTCCATCGTAAACAGAGCTTGTGCACCCCAAGCTTTATCACCACCGATGCGCACGTTCTTAGAATCCGCTATTGCGTATTTCTTACCCATCATAGCAAAGATTGTAACTTGCGGATGCATCGCAAAAGGGACAGTCCACAAGGACAGGTCCTCTTCAGAAGCCTTCTTTGCTAAGCAGTCTATTTTTTCACCCATACCTGCTAGAAATTGTTTCAGTTTCTTATTTTGGAATGCCCAGCGTGCGGACCCATCAGTGGCGTACGTCACAGAGAATTGCTGCTCTTCTCCGCGCTCTTTTGCATCACATGTTACATTACCAAGGCGATCGACAGAGATGTAATTTCTGGCGTAACTCCGAATGTAAACAGTTTCATCCTCATGGAACTCTACCGTCCACATTTGTTTCTGTCGGAGAGCTGTCCCGCTGGCATTAACCTTATTTCCATATCCGTCCGCGGTGAGATATTTCTCTTGTACGTTTACAAGACCGACCTTCCATTCAAAAACATTTTCAGAACTCATAACTGCTTACTTTTGTAAATATACTAGCTAAATTCCATGTGAACAATGGGTATTATGACGTCACCACTATCATTTATTTTATGACGTTCATCACATTCATTTAATGTATTATGACGTTTTGTGTCTATGACGTCACCTTTACACATTTTGAGAGAGTAACGAGCGATAACTCTGCATTGGAGATTGCACTAGTATGTTTATGTTATTTTATTTTTTTTAAATATTGATTACTGTACTGTATATTGACACAACTTTGGTGAAAAAAAATGTACTAGCTTCTAGCTTGAGACTGTATTTCTCCTCCACGAGTGCCATTTTTCAGTAATACAAATTTTATTTAATAATTTTCTAAGATTCAACAAACTCTAATTAAGTCATAAAATTGTTTTATATAGTGTCGTAAATTTAAGTAAAAAGCTAACCCGCTCCCTCTCCCTTTATAGGATACTTCAACCATTGGCGGTAATAGATGTCCATTTATGTTCAAACAAATACCCAGAATTTTTATTTATAAACATCGAGGTTTTTTTTACCCCCATTAAATTGTTTTGTTCATTATACAGCCCATAACAAGTCAAAATTATGTTTCATAGTAAAGTGTAATAAAATAATTTTCTATAGCACTCTAAAATTCTCTGAATTAGTAAGTTTTTCTCTTCTATAACTTTAATTTTAATTGTAAAATAATGCACCAGCTAATCATTAAAACTGTCATGGTTGTGTAATACATAGAAAATTGGATTCAATGACCATATGTATTATCAAGTTTATCGAATTATTATGAAGACCTCAAACACATCAAAATAAAACATTTCAAGTGTTTATACCTCTCTTAATCTTTCACATATATTTTTGACCCCCCCCCCTCCCCATTTCCATATCCACCAAAGCTACGTAGCAGTATTATTTCATTAATAAATGACGTATTCATGTAGTTCCGATCGGGGAATCCAGCATCCAAGATGTATCCAAGCACATATATTAACCTGAAGTATCATACATATGCCGATCATATAAACTGCTTTGATGTTGCCAAGAAGTTAACTATATAAAAACTTTCCCTCTCCACTCCCTCCCCCCATTTCTTCAACCCCCAATTTGCGCCGCCCCCTTTTGATTTTATGAGATTTTAATTGATCGTTCCTCCCAGTGATTAATTTGAACTGCTTGATTTATACAATTTATATTTGAAGCAATTTATTCTACCTTTTAAACTTTGTAATAAAACACTCTCTTGATATTTGCTCATTTCAACCAATAAAAACACTTGAAAGTCTGCCCACTTTGCTTCAGATAAAACTCTCGACGTTAGCTAAGCGCTTAGTCTCCCGCCATCTGTCAGTGTATTTAACGGGAACTTTGGCCATATGCGACAAGTTCAGTATAAATCGATTTGTTTCCTCTGTGTGTCGATGATAAGGATTTTAATTTGAATTAATTTTATAGAAGTAATTGTTAAAAATCACCTAGATTTTATATGCGATATCGACATTAAAAGAAGCTGTTTCTTTAAAAACTGTATCAGCCATTATGGTCTATTAGAATTCCCTGGACGAGAAGTACGTGTATGCATGAAATAAGATGTACAACTGTGAAATATTACCATAGGTAATCTATGTTGTATATTGTTTAAAAAAGCACAACTTAAATCTAACTTCTTTTACATAATGTTTTAGCAAAAATGACAATATTTCCGATCGTGAATTGTTCAACAAATAAAATAAAATAGAATAGAATAAATAGAGAATAATACATGGCAAAATCTGTATCACACCTCATATCAACCCGAGATTCCAATATCAGCCCGAGGGCCGAAGGCCAGAGGGCTCACTGATATTGGTCGAGGGTTGATATGGGGTGTGATACAGATTTTGTCATGTATTGTTTTTATTATATATTTGAAAATAGTGTCAAAAAATCATATATAAACCTGTATATTAATTAGTTTTTAATTTAATTTTTAATGAAATAATTTTAAATTAAACAATTATTTTGAATAATATAAAATGTCTGATGAAATAAAATTACAATTTGAATAAACTTTGGAAAGAAATAAGAAAAGATCCGAGGTACCCCGAAAGAAAAATACAGAGATGTACCGGAAAGGTGTAATAAAGGGTGTGATAAAGGGTGAACTAAAAGGTGCTGATACAGGGTGTGTATTACAGGGCGCGTGCCTTATTTTTGTATCAGGGATGCAAAAATCCTGCATTATTTAACAAATATAATAAAATAGACAAATAAAATAAAAATAAATAAATAAGTAATAAAAATTAAGCAATTGAAATAAATTAAATATATTTTTAGTTTCCTTTCGAAAAGTCTACATGATTTCATGATTAATTCAAATTATTAAATATGATAAGTAATAATGTTATTATTGTTTGAGAACAGCCAGTTCAATACAAATTAACAACGGCGAACCGTTTGTTTTTGGCTTATGTTTTGACTTGGTGTTTGACTTGTATTGCATTGAAAAATACTTAACGTGCAAAATGTTCATATTTATTAATATTGAAAATCTAAGTTTCTTTATGAAGATTTTTTTTTATTTGAAATTTCGTAAAAGTTAATTTTACATCTGTATTCCATTTGCTACTGTGTAAACATGCATTTAAATTCAGAAATCGAGCATTGCTGCAAAATATCACTTGCGTTTCTAAACAAGATTCAAATTAAAAAAAAAATGAGTAAAGCCAAAAGGGAATTCTGTCTATGATTAGATTTTCTAAATCTTAAAAAAATGCAATTAAATGTTTTCTTTGAAAGGCATACTTATTCTAACATTCTCCCCATAATCATATCTTACCGAAATCCAATGCAAAAACGTCAAATATTGAATTCCCCCACTCTCATATTCACTTATTTTTTTTATTATTTTGATTATTTCATGCATTTAAGATGTATTAATGTTGTGTGATCGCATAATATGTAATCCGGTGTATTCAAAGGAAAAATCCCCCCTCAGCTTATGCTTCAAGTAGTTGTGGAAAATATTCTTACATGTGTATGTATAAAACAAAGCTGACGTTTAAATAGAGGAATAAATAAGCGCTGACTTTGTAATAATAAATATTAAAGCAATATTAATTCTGTACAGTGTTTTACAAATTTCAATTTTTCTTTTGTATCCTAGACCCTTAACATTTTGTACCAAAATCTCAATACAAACTCAACAGCTGCTCAAAGGATATCAGGAATTAAATATTACGAGACGGTTTTGATGAAAGGGGTGCAACTCCAACATAATTAAATCACTAGATCCTATATTAAATTTCTTGAGTAATGATCTATGTCTCAAATTGTCCCCCTACAGTAAACTTATTCTGAATGAATTTCATTTCACTTTTCATCTTCAGGTTACTTTGAAAATTATCAAAACACAGAAATATTCTCCATCATGTGAGGACCAGGCTCTGTTTAATCTTCCTTACATAGATGTACGAGGAAGTAATTCAGCATTAACAAGTAAAACTGATGCAAAGCATCAAATCGGCCGCAAAAAATAAAGCAATTTAAAAAAAAAAGTAAGCGTCTAAGAAAAGCGCAAGTTATTTCAGAGTGTCTTCAAAGGAAAAAAACAACACGTATTGCAGATAAACAGGAGATGCTTTCAGTGCCTTTGTAAATCACATTGATTCATCGATATTAAAATCAGTGATAAATGATAAGGATGTATTGTTTTATTCAGATTTGAATATGCAAAAAAAAAAAAAAAAAAAATAAATAAATAAAATAAAATAAATAAAATAAAAAAAATAAACTTTTCACGAGATGATTGATACCCTGGATCTATTTGTCACGTGATGATTGCGGTGATGGATAATTACATGTATGAATGAATAAAAAGTGGGGAAAAAATACTGTTGTGTCATATCAAAAATAAAGTTTACTGGTTCTATCAATTTTTGTTCATCACTTTTGCTACTGCAATATAAGTATCCGGAAAATCTAACATTTTGCATTCATATCTTACACACTCCCATGTTGGGGAGTACCTACATGTGTATTGTGAACTCTTTTTATAAAGTCATAAATTAATAATTAGGTGATGAGAAAAGAAATTGGCAAATGTAACAGATTGCAATCAAGAATTATCTTAAAGCAAGTTTTTAAAAATATTTTACACATAATTTTAATGCATCATTACCGAATTATTTTACCATTACCGAACTAATAAAAACAAGAGGCCCATGGGCCACATCGCTCACCTGAGCACATTGGCTAGGAAAAAGCACAAATCACTTCAGTATTGAAAAGTTTAAAGGGGGGGGCTTGGATTTTGAACTACCTGAGGATGCTTCCATATCAATATAACAAATGGCTTTGCTGTTCTTGAGCAGAAGATTTTTAAAGATTTTTTTCCTATATATTCCCTTGTTAAAATGTTGATCCCCCATTGTGGCCCCACCCTAACCCTGGGGGTCATGATTCGAACGAAGTTAAATCTACACTATCTGAGAATGCTTCCATATCAATATGACTTAACAAGGCTTTGCTGTTCTTGAGAAGAAAATTTTTCAAGATTTTTTTCTATATATTCCTATGTAAAACATTGACCCCTCATTGTGGCCCCACCCTAACCCTGGGGGTCATGATTCAAACAAAGTTAAATCTACCCTATCTGAGAATGCTTCCATATCAATATGACTTAACAAAGCTTTGCTGTTCTTGAGAAGAAGATTTTTCAAGTTATTTTTCTGTATATTCCTATGTAAAACTTTGATCGCCCATTGTGGCCCCACCCTATCCCCAGGGGTCATGATTTGATACAAACTTGAATCTGCACTACCTGAGGATGAATCCATATAAATATGACTAATTGTGGCTTTGTTGTTCTTGAGAAGAAGATTTTTAAAGATTTTTTTCCTATAAATTCCCTTGTTAAAACGTTGATTCCCCCTTGTGGCCCCACCCTAACCCTGGGGGTCATGATTCGAACAAAGTTAAATCTACACTATCTGAGAATGCTTCCATATCAATATGACTTAACAAGGCTTTGCTGTTCTTGAGAAGGAGATTTTTCTGTTGTTGGAAAGATTTTTTCCTATATATTCCTATGTAAAACGTTGACCCCCCCCATTGTAGCCCCACTCTAACCCTGGGGGTCATGATTCGAACAAAGTTAAATCTACACTATCTGAGAATGCTTCCATATCAATATGACTTAACAAGGCTTTGTTGTTCGTGAGAAGAAGATTTTTCAAGATTTTTTTCTATATATTCCTATGTAAAACTTTGATTCCCCATTGTGGCCCCAACCTACCCCCGGGGGTCATGATTTGAACAAATTTGAATCTGCACTACCTGAGAATGCTTCCATATAAATATGACTAATTGTGGCTTTGTTGTTCTTGAGAAGAAGATTTTTCAAGATTTTTTTCTATATATTCCTATGTAAAACTTTGATTCCCCATTGTGGCCCCACCCTACCCCCGGGGGTCATGATTTGAACAAATTTGAATCTGCACTACCTGAGGATGATTCCATATCAATATGACTAATTGTGGCTTTGTTGTTCTTGAGAAGAAGATTTTTAAAGATTTTTTTCTATATATTCCTATGTAAAACTTTGATCTCCCATTATGGCCCCACCCTACCCCTGGGGGTCATGATTTGAACAAACTTGAATCTACACTACCTGAGGATGATTCCATATCAATATGACTAATCGTGGCTTAGTTGTTCTTGAGAAGAAGATTTTTAAAGATTTATTCCTTTATATTCCTATGTAAAACTTTGACCCCCCATTGTGGCCCCACCCTACCCCAGGGGGTCATGATTTGAACAAATTTGAATCTACACTATGTAATGAAGGTCTCACATAAGTTTCAACTTTTACAGCCCATTGGTTCTTGAGAAGAAGATTTTTAAAAGATACCACCAAATTTTCACAAATTCTTAATTATCTCCCCTTGAAAGAGGGTGTGGTCCTTCATTTGAAGAAACTTGAATCCCCTTTACCCAAGGATGCTTTGTGGCAAGTTTGGTTGAAATTGGCCCAGTGGTTCTGGAGAAGAAGTCGAAAATGTGAAAAGTTTACAGACGGACGGACAGACAGACAGACGGACGACGGACAAAATGTGATCAGAAAAGCTCACTTGAGCCTTCGGCTCAGGTGAGCTAAAAATGTCTCATTTCAAGATGTTCATTTCCCCACGTGCACTTTCTAATACGATCACAAATAGATCGGCAGCTTCTGCGGCCGATAATGATAGCGATATTCAATTATAAAAAAAAGGCTGCAATATTTAGATTTTTATTAACAAACATTTCCATTCCATTAACAAATTAACAGAGTCACAAATAATGAAAATCACGTCTGACAATATAAATTAATAAGGGAAACCATTAACACGAAACACCATGCAGTCAGTGTATAGAAATCTCATGTAGTCAAAACACACTACACACATCGACATTTTAAGTGAACACTTTAAAGGTAAAATATTAATCGTAACAAATCGTTTTTATGAGCAACAGTAAAATGTATATTAGAGCTGATCACCTACAGTCATTAATACTGAATATAAAATCAAGTTACTGAAAAATATATTATGTTTACTAAAATAAGTACTAATTTTGACTGAAGACTTCCATCTAACTGACTTACACAAACTGACAACTACATTGTGGCAAATAGCGGGTCATAGATTTACAAGTATATAATGGGGAAAACTGACACCAGTGGGTTGCAATGAGGGCTAGGCTGTACTTATTTACGTGAATGAATTGAAAGCCCATGCACTCATCCCTTCCCCCGCCAATCACAACAAGAAAAAGAAGAAAGTTTATTTTAAAGTAAGAAAATGTATATGACATGAATAATGATTTTCACAAACAACCTTCCATAGACCCCCCTTCCCCTTTTAGAATATACAGAGGTTGGCCATGGGTATGAGTTTAGGTATGATAAGAATCATGATTACCCCCCCCCCCCCCCCAACCCCCAAAAAGCATGGTCATTTGAAAAAAAAAACCACTTAACTATGGCATGAATCATGTATTACTTAAAAGAGAATTTTAAAAAATGTTCTAGTACATTCACATTCAGTGTCCACATCCTGCTGTGAGTGTCTACATGTGAATAGGACGAGATTTTTTTTCAAAAAAAACATCATACAAGAGCTACATACTAATGCCCCTTGAAAGAAGAGTTATATAATTGTAAATACATAAATTCATACTCTCATAGTACTACATCTTCACCAAATTTTTACGAGAACAATACTGCAGTTATGGTAGTCCGTAAAAACTGTGCATCAAAAAATACTAGAAGTACATAATTTTATATGTATACATGAATGTTAAGCTGATATGTACATTACAATTTTAATGGGATACTAGTACATGCACATTGAACATATAATATTATACAATATCTGATAAAGCTTAATTAATATCACATTTTTGGGGATACAGTATAAATAGGTACATATATATCTCTTGTCTTTTGTTCTGTTCAGTGTTGAACATTTTTTTCTAAATCTAACAGCTATGGATATTTTAAAAATTACTACCAATATTGAAATGTAGAAATGACACAATATTGTAAAATAGGAACAATTTCGTAATGTGGCATTGTCATCAATATTGTAATGCTACAAACATCGGATATCAATATAGCAATGTGATGTATTTTTGTATTCAATATAGTGTATTGTGGCATGAATATTAATACTTTGATGAGTATTGAAATGTGGCATTGTTATCAATATTGTTAGGTAACTTTGTAAAAAATATTGCAATGTGGGATTGATATCAATATTGCAAAATGGCATTGATATCAATATTGTAATGTGGCATTGATATCAATATTTTTATGTGCCATTGTTATGAATATTGTAATGTAACTGAGCTATCAATCTTGTAACTTGGAATTTATATCAATATTGTAATGTGGCATTATTTTCAACACTGTAATGTGGCATTGTTATCAATAGTGTAATGTGACAAACCTTTTTTGATGAATAAACCATATTAAAATAAAATGGTACCTATCTTTACAAGTACATGTATATTAACAAAAATATATTTGATAAACAAATTTTTTTTTTTTTCTAAAATAAAGTAAATTCTTTCATATTTAAAAATTTGCACAATTAAAATCTTTTAGTCTAACTTTAAGATATATGTTAATAATAATCATTAAAATACATTTTAATTTAGCTAAAAAAAAAATTCATATCTAGCGTAATAAAAAGTTAAAGACTAATTATTATCTTAAAGTACTCTTATCATATTATTCATTTCAAAAAATTGATATACATGTGTATGCTTATATACTGACTATAATGGAAACATTAAGCATTTGTATTGATTTTGCATAATTTAGAAGTTACAGACAATTAATTATTGTGTTCAAATATGCAAACGATCAATGACTTCTAACAACTCTACATTTTTATGCAAAAATGCATACAAACAACCTAACCGTAAGATGCCTACAAATATTGCCAGAGAAGTAGGAACATGACTGTTCCAGAAAATCCATTTGGTTACAATAGTTAGTTGAAAAAGTGCAAACAACACCCCCCCCCCCCTTTATTCTACAGTCACATGTATTTCACACTAAAACAGCGAGGTAACAAACAGCATGAGGTCAAAGTTCACAATAAGATAACTATAATTACGTTTATCACCTCCACATGGAGAACTGGGGCTGGTCCTTTGAGTTAGTTGTAGCCTCCTCTTGGTCCGCCAGGACGTCCCCCGTCACAGCGGCGTGGATAAAGGGATCACTGTTGTAAGCGTATGCAGATTCAGGGCGACTGTCTGAAGCCTGCTCAAATAAAACATAAAGGTTTTTGTCCTGAATATCCAGCTCAAATAAAACACAAAGGTTCATAAGCCTGAATATCCAGCTCAAATAAAACATAAATGTTCATAGACCCGAATATCCAGCTCAAATAAAACACAAAGGTTCATAAGCCTGAATATCCAGCTCAAATAAAACATAGGTTCATAGGCCTGAATATCCAGCTCAAATAAAAAATATAAGTTCATAGGCCTGAATATCCAGCTCAAATAAAACATAGGTTCATAGGCCTGAATATCCAGCTCAAATAAAACATAGGTTCATAGGCCTGAATATCCAGCTCAAATAAAAAATATAAGTTCATAGGCCTGAATATCCAGCTCAAATAAAACATAGGTTCATAGGCCTGAATATCCAGCTCAAATAAAAAATATAAGTTCATAGGCCTGAATATCCAGCTCAAATAAAACATAGGTTCATAGGCCTGAATATCCAGCTCAAATAAAACATATAAGTTCATAGGTCTGAATATCCAGCTCAATGAAAGTGTGTAAAATCAATCTATTGATAAAATGCTGTGATTTGTTTCCCTTCATCCACTTTTAATTCTGTCTTTAGTTTTTATGGGGCCGTGATAAGGATATTTTAATTGTTAGAACAATTATCATATTTTGTTCAAATCTTAGAAGCCATTATTTTGAGCTAAAATATATTTTAACTGCTGTCTGATTTTCTTTGATTTTTTTTTTAAATTTTTGAATTTAATCATTTTAACACAAACTACAATAAAACAGATTTCTACAAATATTGAGAGAAATCAAAATTTAATCAATTTAACTTTGAAAATTAACAACAACGACAGAACTATTAAATTAAATCATGAATAAATGACAATATAGTCAATAAAAATTTCAATACAAATAAAATCTTAAATCTTAATTAAAAATAATTAATAAGTACATGTTTTATTAATTATTTATAACACTTGCCATTTTGATACTTCTTCTTGGTTGACTGTCGTGTACAGCTGGACCTCCATGAATCTATATAAATGGGAAATAGATGAATCTATATAAATAGGAAATAGATGAATCTATATATATATATAAATAGGAAATATATGAATCTATATAAATAGGAAATAGATGAATCTATATATATATAAATAGGAAATATATGAATCTATATAAATAGGAAATAGATGAATCTATATAAATAGGAAATAAATGGTATTTAGGTATCTATAAACTTGCCTATTTATTGAGTGCGTACACAAAGAAAAAACACAAAATATAGAAGGACGTATAACGTAGTAAGAAGCTCTTAAGTTAATAAACTGGCACTTATCAGTTTTATCATGGTAGTAAGTACAACAACTGATCAAATTTTTTTGACTGTGTATCCCAATCTTTTACGTATATGTAACAAAAACAGTGATACATGTGTACAATATGAAATCCTTGACCTTGAGCCATGTCCAATTTACATGTATGTTATGAACAATTTTCATCATTATATGGGATTCTGTCCGAGATCCATCTTTAATTTTTTATATACCTTTTTAATGACACTTTTCTCGATTAATTCCCATCTTGGTGTCCTTTCTAGTCCCAAGGCAGCAAAGTGTGGCCAGATTTTGTCTGAAGCTGAGGCAAAGTCCTTGGGAGTTCTAAATCAAAGATAATTTATGGATGTCATCAATTATTCAAATTGATCACTTTCTGATCATGAGTTCACTATCCACTTTATCATGTTTATGTCTATAATACATGTACATGTATTTAAATATTTATTCACCTGCAAAAACAATGAAAGTTTGTCTATACATTTGTACTATGAACAATTTTCATTATGGTGTACCAATGTAAAGTGAAAAAAAAAGTGTAAAAGAAAATGTGTATCATTTTTCTTTAAGTCAGTTAATACTTTGAGTAGTCTAGAAGAGATACAATGTACAAAAAGCTCAGAAAAGTTGTTTATCATGGTTGGTTTTTGGTAATTTTGAATGCAATTTTATTTGTATTCTACAACTTTGTAGATTTGCTCCTGTTGTGTTGGTACTGTGATAAGCTCAAAAATCACAGATTATTCCGAAAGATTTTACCTGCCCTCTGAATCTGGAATTTCTGGATTGGCACCATTTTCTAAAAGCACCATGACAACCTGAAACATAAAGTTCCTGACTTTACTCCAGAAAATTATAAAAATACTTGTAAGGAAAAAAAAAGTATTCTTAGAGTATTGCGTAAGGAATACTAGTTTCCTTCAGTATTCTGTCAAAAATTATCGATTGAAAGTGGAACAAAATGCAAACTTGATCTGTAACTCATCAAGATAGACTCAAACATCAAAAATTAATTCAATATAATATACAAAATGTACAGTCAAACCTCGTTATCTCAAACTCAATGGGACTGAGAAAAAACTTTGAGATATCCAGAGTAAAATACTTAAGGAATAAGAGGTTGGGGCTTAAAAATGACTTCGACATATCCAGAGTATTTGATATATCAGTGTTCGAGATACCAAAGTTCAACTGTATATAGGACATGCAGACAAAGTTAACAATAAAACTTACAGGTCCATGTTCTTGAAATGTGGCAGCATGAAGTGGGGTCCAGAGGGTTCCCTTGTTTTTAAAGTTAACATCTGAAAGTAAAGATAAGTAAAGATAAATCAACCTAAGAATGTCAATCGTATTTCCATTGGAGTAACATAATGTATTAATTTAATGGTCATCTTGCAGTTGAAGCAAGTTCAGAATAGAATTATAATATTAAGGGTCACATGGATACATATATCAAAAAATATTACAAAATTGAACATCAGATTAATACTATGTTGAAAAAACATGATGAATTAAGCTTTGTCTTCTGTCACAAAAAACCTACCTACTCCTTTTGATAAAAGTTGCTGAACAATATCTCTCATTCCCCAAAAGCATGCTGCAATAAATAAATAAATAAATCAGATATAATAAAACATTTCATCATGAATTTAAATGATTCATGTTCATGGTTAAATTCTACAGTGTGTGAGTATAAATATCTTCCTTGAGAGACATGTCCCCCTATTATTTCAACTCTTATCTTTCATCTTAAATTTAGGTCATGATGACCTGGTTTGAGATGAATTTATAAGGGGGGATTCCCAACTGAAACTGATTGATTACACACTTCCAGATAAATCTGTTGATCTTGGTTGAGACAGTATAAATATATACATATGTATTTGAATTCTTGAAGCAATTTACATTGGATGTCCAGATTTCTGTTAGGGTGATCTATGGTGTTCTTTGTTTGGTTGTTCGAATCCAAAATTCATATAATCTGATAGATACAGCATCCAGTGTGTAGCAAAGTTAGTAGTAAGTGTAAAGCAATGTTCTTAGAAATTAGTGTTTAGCAATATTAGCAGTAGACATACTAGTAGAAAGTGTGTAGCAATATTAGCAGTAAGTGTAAGGCAATGCTAGCAGTATGTAGCAATGTTAGCACATGTAATTAGTGTGGAACAATGGTAGCAAAAACTGTGTAGCAATGCTAGCAGTATGTGTGTAGTAATGTTAGCAGTAGTAAGTAGCAATTTTAGCAGTCACTGTGTAGCAGTGTTAGTAGGAAGTGTGTAGCAGTGTGTTACAATGACAGCAGTTAGTGTGGGGCAATGTTTAGTATATATATATATATGTAGGCTAAGGAATCTTAGCCACAAGATAGAGGCAATGTTAGCAGCAGTAAGGGTGTGGCAATGCTAGCAGTAAGTTTGTAGCATGTTAGTAGCAAGTTTAAAGTAAGTTTGTTGCAAGTTAGCAGAAATTCTGTAGCAATGTTCAAAGCAAGTGTTTAGCAATGTTTGTAGCAAGTGATTAGCAATGTTAGCAGCAAGTGATTAGCAATGTTAGTACACTGTAGCAATTGTGTAGTTATATTGGTAGCAAACACACCTTAGCAATAATAGCAGACTTTGCAGTAATTTTAGCAGTGACAGAGTTAACAAAAACACATGGAAATGACACCAGTAAAAACTGGACCAATTATTAACAGAAAGATTCCTTTAATGGCCCTTGGATCATTGTCCACCACATGCTAATGCCACAATTAAGCTTCATTAATTGCACAGAAAAAAGATAACTGTAAGCCTTTTAATATTAAAACATATTCTTCAAACACATAGCATTATGCATCCTTCTTGAGTTTCACAGCAGCTTTTTTTCTTACTGAATGTAATTTATGGACACTTACATATATACAGCTGGCTTTGTAGAACTTCTGGTCCAGATCCCTGTAGTCTTATGTTCTCTGTCAGAAATTTCTCTACCAGCTTTCAAAGAGAAGAAATAATTTTTATGACAATGTATTTTAAATAAAGTTTAATGAAGAAGTACACTATACATAACGCTTAGAAGTAATATTATTGCCCCTCATTCTTTTAAATGCTTTATTACTTTACACCAGATATGGAGTTCTGAACGGTAATCTAGTTTTATTTTGATATTTCTTAAACAGAACTTTGCATTCTATATATATATATACTATATATACATTTATACAATCTTAACTGTACTTATTTATTTAGAACATTTAAGAAATAATCTCTTAAGCTTAGATTTAAGTAGATTTTCAAACATTAATTACTATCTGTGCATTTCTTTACAATCTTCTTTATTGCATATACAGTCAAACCTCATTATCTCAAACTCAATGGGATAAGTAAAAAAAACTTTGAGATATCCAAGCTAGGATTCAAGATATAGCCAGGGTAAATACTTACTAAAGAATAAGAGGTTTGGACTTCCAAATAACTTCGACATATCCATGGTATTCAAGATATCAGTGTTTGAGATACTGAAGTTAGATTGTATTTGTAAAATTAAAGGAACATATACTTAGGGCTCACGTTTAATATTCACATCAACAACAAACTGTAAAATTCATAATAGAAATAACAGGCTATGTTCACAACATCTAGATGATTCAGAATCTACTTATATAGACATGATAGACTGTGACTAACTAACTTGGGGACTGTTAATGTCAAATTAGCACTACATGTACAGTCATTTGCATCTATTTGCAATTCCTTTAATACATCACAAAAGTTCAAACACGCTGAACAACTGCCAGATTGAAGTGATTACAGAAACATTAATAACACATTATTTATGTCTGGGCCATGTTGACAAAACATACATATACAGGGGTAATTAAAGGAAGTACCCTATTTATATAAAGTATGTAGTACTACATACAACATGTAGAATGAGAAAATGTACACAAATCAAAGAGAGAAAAATAAAGACATGGAACAAAAAAAAGTGAGGGTCTAGATAGCATCAAATCAATCAAAGATCTTTTTGTTAATTGTGCTGATCAATCTAATATCAACAAACTGCTGTACTGGTATATAAATTATTTTTCAGCCAATTTAACAATAATCAATTTCAATTACGAATTTTATTTTTTTTTCTGCAATCCTGTAAATTCTGTTGTGTTTACACAGTGGTCTAGGGCATTTTATCAATGTCTTTTCAGGTTATGAATTATTTTTTTTAATAATTATATATTGTCAAATTATTAATGACTTTCAAATCTTTCTCAACTTGCTGTTCTTTATTTGATTTTAGTTTTAAAATCATCATTTGATCTGTAGATGTATTCTTTATTAAAAGTAAAAATAACACACATGCACATATATACATGTACTTTTGTTCCTCAATATTAAACTAGAGGTACTGTGAGTACTGAGTTCACAAAATGATACCCCCACTCCCGTGAGTATGATGGCAAGCCTATGTTTTGCTATAAGAGAGCCCAAATATCTGTCAAATTAAAATGTGAAATAGGAGATGCACAATGACACTATGTAATAACTATTCTGTGAAAGTCTCATTAAATTTTAGTCAGTGGTATAGGAGGAGTTGGAGATAAGAGATGAGTACACCCAATGATGGAAGGACAGAGAGACATACAGATGGAAAGAACCCCCATCATTATATACCCCAGCTTTTCAAGTGGGAGGCACACGTATAATGAACAGTATGTGAAAAAAAATGTCAATTATACTACCTTTAGGAATATACTGAATTAAATCTTACCAAAAAAAATTTGAGAATTTTCAATTAATGTAAGGGTGAAATTTTAGCCCAAAAATGCCCCTTCCCTCTATCCCCATCAGAAAGGTGAATTCAGCTATGAACTTAACCAGTGTATGATCTTGACAATTGAAATGCAATGTACTCGCTACTTCCGTGGTCCCTAATTTAAAACTCTAGATATTCATTCAGAAAAGCTTTAAAAATTTGGTCCATCACCCTGTGAGTTTTTGTGAAAAAGTTCCACACAATTTGCACAAAGCTCAGGAATTAAGGGTTGTGATTTTGACACCTCACATGCAGTGATATACGTATGTAGTATATATACATTGTATACAAGTTCTAGTCATACAAAAGGTGAGGAGTGAATTCAGCTCGAGAATTAGTCCCAACACACCTTATAGTCCACCCCAGGCAGTGTCCAGTGCTACAGGAAAAAAAAATAAAAACATTCTGAAATACTAACACATGTAGGAGTAAGGGGAAAAACATCCTCTCCCCCCTCTTCTCTTTGTCCCCTTTCAAAATGATATTAATATGAGATCTACTGAAGCCACAATAGAAAAAAAAATTTCATTTATGTTTCATGAACCTAAGATGTAACACTACATGCCATTTTTTCAGAGTTTGTCAAACATTTGTGTTTGATTATGCATAAGTTTTTAACTTCTTTAACATCTTCCTACAACTTGCTGCTTTTCTTACTAGTCCCCGAATTTGTTGAAATTTAAATAACTGTATCTTTATGGAAGTTAAAAGTAATTCATTCTTACTATGGGAAATCTTTAGAAAACATTATGTACCTTACAGAATGCTATCCATTTTCAATTGCTAGACCTCTAGAAGAAATATTAATAAAAATCTATGTATAGAAAGACTGAGAGTTACTAGATAGAATGTTCTATCGTTAAAATGATATATGTCCTATGGACCTGATACAACAATAGAATGCGTTCCTTGTATTGTCAATGTAGCAAAGAAAATAACTCAGTGAATTTACTATGAAAAATCCCTAGAGTTCCGAATGTCAACATGGTGTGTAAATTTGAAACGAGTAAAAAACGTTTGTGAAAGTGTTGAATTCTTCCATTATATGGATTTAATTTTTGATGAAAGGTATTTACAGTCTCAAAAAGGTTCGTTATGATTAATTTGACTGTTATTTTCAATGCAGATTCATTAATTTTTTTCAAAATCGTTTCGGAGCGATTCTGCAATTTTCTGCTACATTACAGGTATATGGGAGGCATTCCAACTGTGGTGAGGGCCTGTCCCAAGACACAGTTAGATTATTCTAACTAGAGGGTTACATGTAGGGGTGGTAAAAAACTATTCAACACCTGTTCAAGAACACAATAGATCGTGACAAATCCCTTTGATTCCATTGTTTCAACTCCCTATAATTTTGAATTCATTTGTGAAAAGTCTTATCCACAAAGATCGTCAATCTAACAGCTTGTTGTAAATTTAAAGGAGAATGGCCAAAACTCCCAAATAACATCTTGCACCGGTTACTAGGTTTAAATCATCACTCAATTAGAAAATTGACAATCTAAGAAAATAAATGAGATATTAAGTCTTACCAAATCATCTCCTTGTTGTGCTAAAGTTGAAAGCTGCTCGAATGGCACTTGAGCCGTTCGTAAATGTGTTTGTAAATCTCTCAGGACGGTGAAATCTTCTGACATCTTACGTGTTGTCAATCACGCTCCGAGTTGTCTCTGTCAATCTTGGTCTTTAGAACGCTTCAAAATAATTTAGTAACTTGTTCCTGAGATGCGCTAAGTTAATGCCCCCGTAATAGAAGATTCGGGGTATATAGTTTTTGTCCTGTCCGTTCATCTGCCTGTCTGATAATCTGTTTGTCCGCAAAAACTTTAACATTGCCCATAACTTTTAATTGGTTGGATATATATATTAGCTTTCACATTTCACATGTGTATTCCTTGTGACAAAATCTTTCTTTGGGTACCAACATATTTTTGACCTCTTCGCCTTGACCTTGGAGTTTGACCCACTTTTGCAAAATTTTATCAAACATTAATCACTATTACAAAATGTAACCTTGGCTGTAACTTTTGAGCAGTTGGTACTAAGGCCTTAAATTCATACCTCAATCACAGGCGTATTACTTGTGTCATGTTTAAAAAAAAAAAAAAAAGGAGGAAGAAAAGGTCTACACGGCCGCCCCATAATTTTGCCAATATATAGAATACTATAGCAAAATAACTACTTTATGCTTGTGCCCCTTCATTAAAAACGCCTGATGACCCTTTTTTTGTCTGCTTGTCAAGGAATTTTGGTAGTTGATAGTGCCCCCCCCCCTTCAACTGAAAATGTATGGTTGTGCCCCTTCAAAGTGAAATTGCTTCCTACGGCCTGGACTAATATACATTGTTAATAAATTGATTGATGGTATTTTATTAAAATGTTTTAAATTAATCAAAATATCATAATGATTTAAAGTTTGATAACATCTTTAATAATTATTTATTACACATTAATTATGCTGATAGACAGTCAGATCGTCTAATTGTTGTCAGTCTTCATTGTGTGTAATGAATAAGCCTTTTTATTACAACATTACAATTTTTAAAACAATGTAAGCTGTTTTTACATTTTAAATGTTTATAAATAACATGTAAATATTTTTAATTAGTTACCTCCCAGACCTTGCAGAGTCCAGACGTGTATGAATTTAATACGGCCTGTAAGATCCGGTAACTCTGATCTTTGGTGAGTTATTAACTCATCTATAATGATTGCTTATCTATTCTTAATTCATTGTATTTATTTATATTTATACACTAACACAACACTTGTGACAAGACCTTCCATTGGATATCAACAATTTTGACTTTAAGACCTTGACCTTGGAGTATGACCCTCTTTTAAAAAACTTTAACCTTGCCCATAACTTTTGAATGGTTGGCGATAGGGCTTTTATATTTCAGAGGTGTAATTCCTTGTGACAAAACCTCCCATTGGATAATGGATACCAACAATTATGACCTTGACCTTGCAGATTGACCTACTTTTGAAAAACTGTTAACCTTGTCCATAAGTCAGGACCATAACTTTTGAATGGTTGGTGACAGGGCTTTCACATTTCACAAGTGTATTTCTTAATTGTGACAAGACCTTCCCTTTGGCACCATTAATTTTGATTATTTGTCCTTGACATTTGACTTGCTTTTCAAAAAAACTTTAACCTTCTTTAACCTTCGCCATATCTTTTCAATGTTTGGTGCTAACCTTGACTTTGGAGTTTGACTTAGATTTGGAAAAACAAATGTGAATTTTTGTTTTCTTATTAATTTTCTTACAATTTTATTCTTTTTCTTTCAATTCAAATTATAGTGAATCATCGTAGAAATTATACAAAATCCCTATATGTAATATGAAAGAAATTTAACAAGACTTTTTTTGCCCACATAGTTTGAAATATGGCTTATCGGATCCCTGTAAGCAAATTCTGAAATCAGACAAATGACAATCAAATGAGTTTGTAAATTATTTAAAAATTACCTATCTATATAATGCAATTTTCGTGATGCTGTTTACAACTTTTCTGTTACTTAAATTCAGTAAATTATATTGATACTGGTATATTAAATTTGAGTAAACTGTTCTGAAAAAGTAGAACATACATCAGGAATTGAAATTTACGTGTAAGTATGCTTAAGTTCTCTTAAGAGAAAATGTATGCTTAAATTAAAAAAAAAAATTAAAAAAAAAAATCAACAGAATGATTAATTGGAACCCAGATTAAAATGTGTCAAAATGAGGAAAATTGAACAGACAGTATCATATATTTTAGTGATTTAAAAAATATTCAATGCAAAAAATTAAAAGAATTAAATGACGTCACAATTTACCTTTTACCTCTTAATGTTACCTTTAACCTTTATTGCCTGACGCCACGTGCGTCAGGCAGTATAAGGATTAATTTTTCAGGGATCCGAAACTAAGCGATCATTCTTAATGAACTAGATTTTGTGCAAGCTGATTTACATCGGAATTTGTTACCTGCATTTAAACAAATACAGTTTGCAGAAGAAGAAATCATATAACTGATGCAAAATACTGATGTGTTTAATTCCTTCGGTTTTTTTTGCATGCACATGTTTATTCTTTGCGATTCTTTGTACGGAAATGTCCGTGTAACATTTTTTCTGCGTTTTTAAACTACTGGATCAGTCCATTTGACTTCTATGAAAGGGGTGACACAATCATTTCGCACCAAATGTCACATGTAAATTATTTCCGCGCCTTTTTCTTGGGTTGTTCTATTGAATGGGTGTGATAACTTCTATGGAAATAAATAAAGTTTATTCTTTTAACAGGTTTCTTATATGGACAGGCAACACTAATTAAAGCAATGGTTTTGCTGATTATTCTTACTATTTATCCCATAAGTCATCTTCGCTAGCCAAAGGTTTCTGATACGCTACTCTCCTCAGCTAATGAGGAGAGTAGCGTATCAGAAACCCTTGGCTAGCGAAGATGCTTATGAGGAGAGTAGCGTATCAGAAACCCTTGGCTAGCGAAGATGCCCATAAGTGGACTAGTCTTATCATAAACAAACTCCCTCCACCTAGTAAATGGAGCATCCCTTCTTGATTCAGTCTGTTTTCCACCTAGCCTTTCTTTTAATATTACATTTATTACTAATGTAGGTTACACGATTAGGTTTTAAAAAAAAAAAAAAAAAAAAAAAAAAAACTTAGAAAGTCAGCGAGTAGCATATTACTTCATGCTTTGTGATGAACAAGGGTTTCCTTTTAATATAGTGACAATTAAGAGTGTAGGTCAGTACCCGTAGAGGAATGGGCTTCACTCCCGTAAGGTTCTAAGTAAAGAATGGGCAAAATGAAGAAGACATTATGATCTGTACTGGTCTTCATTTCATAAAAAAACACGTTATTATAAATATGAGAAAGGTCTGGAAATCGATTGAAAAGAAAAGCTAAACAATTTCAAAACTGTACATAAAGATGTCTTTTAAACTCATTTATAATACATGTACATTTATATGGTAATACCATCATCGCGTGAGTTTTGTCCCCCCCCCCGGGGGGGGGTGTTATTAGTATCTTGTTTTGCGCTAGCTATAAAATGTACAGGTCATTTACTTTGATTTCTAGAGCAGCATTGAAGCATTTTTGTCTCAAACACTTCAAGACAACTTTCCCAGTTAAACCTGTTCATAATTTATTTCGTCGTCGAGAACGACGGAAAACAGACCAGTCTATAAATAGAGGCCGTCATCACTGACCAGGGAGTGTGCATGAAGAAGCTCGCCCTCTAGTAAGAGAGTACATGTAATATGAATTTCTTTAAAATGAATCATCTAACTATTTTCCCCAGAATTATCAGTGGCGGATCCAGGAGTTTCTTAACGGGAGGGCTCAGTAGAAGGCAGGGGGTCTGGGGCTGTATTGAAACCCTATTGGGTCCAGGGCAAAGACCTGATGGGGGTTCGGGGGCGAAGCCCCCGGAAGCTGACGAATTCTTACAAATAAGAGGTGTTTTTTCTTGATTTTAGGATAATGAACATATTTAAGTTCTACATACAAAAAATTCAAACAGGGGGTTGGGGGGGGGGGCGCACGTCCGGCGCGCCGGTGCTGGAACCGCCTTTGATTATAATCTACGCTAGCGCACTTGCAGTTTCATCCCAACGTAACTAGTCAGCCCGTGGGCTAACCAATAAATGACCAAATAGTGGCATGTCTTAGATATTAGTTAATCTGTAGTATTTGGTTATGACATTTGAGAAAGTCAATTGTACATCTTGTGTAATGAAGTATCGCAACTACATGTATGTCGCTCCTTGATGACAGAAACGTAAAGCACCTCTCTTGCATATACGTTCCATAGATATTGATTGATTAGTCAGGCAAGATTTTTGAAAAGCTAATATGTTGACGGTGCGACCGTTGGGGCGAGCGCATTGTTCACTTCATTCGTTAAGATCCGCCTCTTCAAATCAAACGTCTAGACTGTGACGTCACATGACGTCGTATGTTAGCTGCATTTCCATAAACAAAGTTTAAAAAGTGCAAAGATTTTAACAAAGAACGTTTAATCTACTATCTGTATGCAATATCCATTAAATTAAGGTGAGTTTATTTTGTGTGAATTTTTAGTTTTTGTTACCGCGCGAACGAAGTTAGCAGCGAGAACAAGAAGCGATGCATTGTGGGTCCAGAATTACTGCGGAAAAAAATTCTATTGAATGAATGTGCAGTAGTCCGAATTTTCTCTTCGCCCAGGCGTTGTCGTTAGAGCTCGCAGTGACGAGCGGCGCTTGGCGCCGCTCGCTGCGCTCGCTATTACTTGTTATGCATAAAGGATGGAGACTCCTTAATTATAAATATAGGTCCAAATATCAGGTCTGTACTATAAATGGATAAAGTTACTTGACATTTAACCGTGTAACAGACTGTCATATTGCAAAAATGATACACTATAATGAGAAGACGTCCGATTTTCTGAAAAACACCTATAGTTATTAATCACGTCGCTCTCAATCTTCTGCGGTCATCTTAACATCGTAGAAAATACATTACGTGAGATATCGTGATGTTAAAATTAGTGTGACGTGAATACGGAAAGTTCATTTTTATATATATCAAGGATTTATCGAGTAAATGTGGATAATCCATGCCGATAAGTTGTCAAAGAACAAATAGTTGTGGACAGATTCTATCACCATCAA